CAGTTCTTGCTGTGCAACAGCGGAGGTCTGAGTCTGCTGTCTCTCGTTACAGATCGGACCTTTATCAAGACGGCTGGTATGCCTTCTTGGGTGCCAGACTTTGCCATCAAAGGAGATCAAGGCCACTTACTTTCCTCCGTAACAAAGTTCAAAGCCTCTGCTGGTATTTCTGCAGAGCCTCTTCCCCGTCGTAACGGTAAATGCATTGCATTCAGGGGGAAAAGGGCTGGCAAAATTGCATTCATCCCGCCTAATGACGGCAAATTTAGCCCCTTTGCGCTTCAAGTTGCTCTCTGCATTCCTCATCTGCCCGAACAGTACCCGGCAGGTACCGCAGATAGCGCTGAAGCTCTGTGGAGGACTTTGATTTACGACTTGGGCGAAACTCCCACGACATCTACGGGGGCAGCCGCCGAAGCAGGAGCCGATCCGAAGCATGCACAAGGCTTCAAGCAGTGGTTTACGATTGACTTGACGACGTATCTCAATAGGGATGGGCATGGCTTGGAAGAACACGAGAGCCGCGAATTCGGCTGTATCCTTTCGTCTGACTTTCAGAAAGCTCATAGCGAGCTCATTCCATCCCTGGATGAGATTCATCACATCGTTCACTACATACTGGCACACCCTCAACTGGGACATCCATCGCAGGTCCAAGGGCCACTCGGCAGGTCATACCGTACTTTGATGACACCTATCATTATGAACAGACGACTGTTTGTTACTGATCAAGGGCTTATCGGATTGGCAAAGTTATCGGCTCGCGTAGGCGATGAAGTTTGGGTCCTTGCTGGTGGTAGGGTTCCATACGTCATGAGACCAATAGAGGATGCTAAGCGGTTCTCGCTGGTTGGGGATGCTTATGTACACGGTCTGATGGATGGGAGTTGGTCTGTCTCGAGTAACTCAACTGTCGAGGACGTTCAGGTTGTGTGAGGTTGTTAGTAAAGTTCAATTTGAAAAGATGCACCGAGGGTTTGCACAACAGACGTTATCCTCACTCCGCGCCGGGATTCGATAATCAGCTACGAAAGCTTCTAGAACTTGGCTATGAGCGATGTCAGCAATAGAACTAGCATGTAAGATTTCGCCACAACGATGGTGGCGTCGTATCTCTTATCTGACGGGTAGTTTAATACATGAGATTGTCTGAATGTCCAAGTCGAGAGCAACCTGGGCTATCACCGGGTTGTGTGAGTTGGTTATGGTCACACTTATTCCTCGGCATGTGGCAGCAATCTTTCCAAATGGGCGAAGTTGACAAACAAAAGAGCATATCTCGAGTTGCTCAATGCCGATCGCGTTGTCTTATCGCGCGACAACTGTTATAGTCAAAGAACGATAGGCTACTTTCGAGCTCGCTTTCCTGTTTGCTTGCAGTCATGACTCCAATTAGGCTGATAGACAGGCCAAAGGTCGACGTGTGGCGCCGGGCGCTGACCTGTAAGGCTAGCGAACGAGGCACACGCCAAAGAGTCGTAGATGCTGATTGCTGCAAAGGGTTAATGATTACCGAGATCTGACGAACAGGACTGACAAGCTGGCCCAAACAGGCTTCGCGAAAGGGCGTCGGGTCGGGCGCGTGTGCGCCGACTTAGAGCCTTGGCACTCTGCAAAAATCCCCCTGGCCCGATTTCAAAGGTTCCAGGCGCGTTCGAGAGCTCGGTTGAATGGTGGACGGGTGGCGGGGGGAACCAGGGGTGGTTTGCGGAGGCCACGATTTGGCTGCTCAAAGGGACGGCGCGAAGCCCTTTTGGGAGTCAATGTCCGGGGGCTGGATTTGGGGCGATTTCCTTCCTGGCCATTCTCTCACCTCTGCTAAGTGGCTCGTGCTGGTCGGGCGGCTGTCAGAACTTTAGATACGGCAGTGCCAGTTCCCATTTGCGAATGGTCTGCGGTCTGAGTAAGTCGGGCACCGCGAGGAAGGATTGGGTGCGGGAGGTAACGCGCGGAATCCGCCCCGGCGGCTCAAACCAGGCTCCTTTTGACGGCGATAGAATGTAGAATGATACGACAAGCCTGGAGCTTCGCCAGCTGCTGTTGATCGAGCGGACCTAGTCTCAGGAAGGATTCGGCGAGCTGTCAAGTCAAACTGTCATTCTCGTTTGTAAGCTGGCATGGAAAATGATCTCGGCTACTCTCTGCAGCTTCTTCTTTGGTGTTGGACTGAGAACAGAAGTCCTTCAACATCTCGGTCATGTGTCAAGGGCGCGGTTTACATGTCTTCGGGCACTAGCGATCAGGGGAGAGAGTCAAGCTTTGCGAAGGCCACGCCAACGTACCAAAGCTTTTGAGCCCGGCTTGGAAGCATTGGCAAAGTTACCGTGATGGCTTGGCCATCGCCTGGGTGCGGCGGAGAGCACGACTGCTTCAGGACTGCATTGTAACACACTGCACCAGGCCACCGTCAGCAGAGCGCAGCGGCGACCAGAGCTGGGTTCCTGGTGGGTTAGGTGGCCAGCGGCGGGCGGCGGAATCCTGCAGCTGTTTGTGCGCCATGGCCCGCTAGTTTCTGGGCATTCACACCCTCGTCCTAGCTGATCAAGCCATCCCGGATGGCACTTTGAACGACGTTGGAGCGAGTGGTGTGAGAATCGCCGTGTGAGCTGTTGACGGCGAGGGACCTGCCAATTTGTCAAGCAGGCTGGTAGGCACTTAGGCAAGGCATATGTAAGGTAGATCAGTAGCAGTTGTGACCAGTCTTCAGTAGACGTTTGTTTGCATGTGCTTTGCTTGGCAGGACGATAGCCGCCTGAAACATTGTTGCCTTTGTCGAGATGGTCGAGGGCGGCGACTTGGCGAGGAAGCCTGTGTCTCGAATGGCTTATCTCGAACAATCTCATCGTGTGTTTGTGTGTATATGGTATTTGTGGTGTAGATGACAGACAGAATTGACACGGACGTCTGATTGGCTTACAAATTCGAAACCGTCCTGCTTTACGACCACGATGTATCCTTTCGACAGTGAATTGTCAGTGATCCAGTGAAGAGTTTTCGTTATCAATTCATCAATTGCGGTCTTGGCGGCTCCGCAGCGCCATAGTAGTTGATCGATGGGAAACGGCATCAGTTTCCCAAAGCGCTTAATCCCCAGCGGCTGGTAAGCCTAGCCGAGTCAAGTGGGTAACGACAAATGTCCGCTAACACATCCTCCTTCCCTTTTCATGGTGTCAATATGTCCGTCAAGATTCACTCAAAGTCGCTCGTAAAAATGTTAGTTGGAGCAAGTGCTGGTAGCATGGCATATTATGATGAGGACTAAACGCATGAGTTCACGTGGAGGATATACTTCGACAAATATCGGATTAGCAGTGTATGAAGAAAGTGCCTATAATGATAAGAAGAGCCCATAGGTTTTTGGGCGGCAGACCATGGTGCTACTCCGTACAACTGTCACGATGCACCCTTGCCACAGACCCAAATGCTAAGTCGGGAGACGGCAGACCCCTGTGGAGAGCATTTTGCGGGGAGTAGAACCGGCCTGACAGCTCTAGCATGGTGCTGAACATGGGTTTATTTGACCTGACACATAGAAACGTAGTTACGCAACAGGGCCTCATGTTCTTTGTCCGAAGTCGGTTGCAATTGGAATCGCGGTTTACCACTTTCTAGAGTCTCAAGCTCTCCAGGCTCTAGACAGCTTCGCGCAGAAGACATATACCATCTGAACGGCTTCATGCGGCTTTCCGCGGTTTGGAGAGAGTTATGATCGGACACACCAAGGTTGAGGCTAGGCGAGGTTGAATTTGAATAGGGGGCTAAGGCAAAGCATCCGCATTACGGTTGCCTACTCCAATTCCACTGGAACGCATCCCGCTCAGGGCATGCAGCCCCATTGAGGCATCTGCCAATCGGGACCCCTGCGGTCCAATATCGGGGAGGACCTTTTGTAGCGTGTCTTGTTGCCCTCCGACGAATGGCACGACAATCAGGACCAGTTTAGCAGAGAGACTTTAAATCACCTGTTGCGGAAGCTGCAGGAGGCTTTATGTCGCCAAGACCACGGGCATGGTACTGTACATAGTTTGTTGGCCTGCTCGCCGCGAATCTTGACGGCTCAACCAGGCAGATTGGTTTCTTTCTGCTCCGAGCCTGTCTCACCCGTGATAACTGGCGGCGCCGATATTCGGGCCACGAGCTACCCAATTCTAATAGCGAAGAAGGGTATCTGCATCTCTGCTTTGCTTCGAACCTGCGATCCCAAAGTTTTCGCATACTTTATCTAAAGGCTAGCAGACGAGATGGGGGCGGAATGTAACCCGCACGCCTTGTAGCTGAGTTTACGAGGAACCCTTCAATCAAGCTTAAGGACTTGGCACTTTTGATGATCCCTTGGTTCTTAGTCGCCGTTAGTGGCGTCTAGTGGTCATTTTCGATGGTTAGACTGTATCACTTTGTCGTGTTACCTCCGATCCCACGGGAACATCTAGCCAAACACGAGGGTACTTCTTGGGGGAAGCCTCCAGCCTCAGCGATCGACTGCCCAGTCAGGTCGAAGCTGTTAACAACAATGCGATGATACTGTATTCTAGAACGCCACTAGAAAGTTGATGAGCCTCGTCGGCCAATAATCTCACGGCCCTCGCGCCAGCCATTAGCCGAACTGTTCCTCCTCAGAATCGTTGGTGGATTGCCTAAAGTTTGGGGCATAGTGAGTAACATCGTCAAGGACCTTCCTAATTGAGGATCGATGAACAGTTGCGGCTTACATCAAAAGTGCCAGACGGGCGAGACAAATCCCGAGAGCAGACTGGTGACCCAGCAGTTCCAACGCGGATCGACTGCCACAGGACTTGACCGTCGTCCCAGACACCCGTTTCTGGTGTGGCCAAATGCCATGCGCCGCGGGTCTGCATGTCGCCTGCCTACTCACTCGGACTAGACGAATTTCGACCTGGCCGGAGCGACATGCAGACCCCCGCTGAACAAACGTACCGCTTTCTTATCTAGCCTGCTCCCTGTACATCGGGAGAGCAGGGATGGCCACATCAAGCTGTCTCGTCCGGGGTCCTTTTGCTGTAAGCTCGTGCCACTGTGTGCTCGACGCGAGAACCTCTCCAACGGTCCAACCAGTGGGAGAGGTTTTGCATATCGCTCCAGGTAGATTCATGTCGGCAGGGATAGTCACGCAGAGCGAATGCGACGGAGGGTTTGTCGAGACATATAACGACTGCGAGCCCTCTCAAACTCTCTCCAGCTCCCACCCCCTTCAGCCCGCGCTTTGTGTTTCACGACCTTTCCAGTTGCCCTTTGTCGAGCAATAGGTACAAGCCGCCCACCATGACCGAAGAAAAGGTAGCACCGGCCTCGGCCGTGGCCCCGGCTACCCGCGTCGACAGCGCCGAGCCCCGCCCTTCCTACACCGGCAGCGTCACCGTCCACCCCGATGAGAAGGGCGCAATGGGCGGCGAATGGACGGAGCCCATCGTCGACACTAAGGTCCCCGAGACCGAAGAGCACAAGGAGGAGGATCTCTACCGCCCGCTGAAGATGGATGAGAATATTCCACATGAGGAGAACATCTTGACCGTTCGAGCTATTGTTGTTGGCTGTATTTTGGGATCCTTGGTGAACGCGTCCAACTTGTATCTTGGCTTGGTGAGTTCGTTCCTCTTTCTGGGCTTTAAGTGGCCTTCCCTCAGCCCTTCCTGGGAGTGGCCGAGATATCACATCACGAACTTTGAAATCCGAAATTTGGCGATACTCCTACAATTGTGAATCGTTCTGACATCAAATCACTTTGAAGAAAACTGGCTTCACGTTTGTGGCCTCGATGTTTGGTGCCATTTTTGGCTACGGAATCTTGAAGATGCTTTCGACAACGAGCCTTCCAATCCTCGGTGGAACCTTTGGCCCTCAAGAGAACTCAATTGTTCAAGTGAGTATGACCTGAATCTACAATGACTGGTGGGACCGCAAAACCTAACATACTTAGGCTGCTGCCACCGGTGCCGGAGGTATCGCAGGTATCTTCGTTGCAGGTATCCCTGCCATGTACAGACTCGATCTCATGCCTAGCACGCCGGCTGGTGATATTGGCAAGATCTTCACCTTGACTCTCTGCTGCTCCTTCTTCGGCCTCTTCTTCGTTACGCCGCTGCGCAAGTTTTTTATCATCCGCACTGCCCGCGAGCTCAAGCTCATGTTCCCGACCTCGACCGCCACGGCCCTGACTATTCGATCCATGCACGCTGGTGTCAATGGCGCCCGTGAGGCCGCTATCAAGCTCAAGGCCTTGGGAATTGCCTTTGGAGTCTGTATCGCGCACCGCGTGGCATCGTACTACGCTATCGGAATTCTCTACGACTGGCACAGTAAGTCAGCGCTCTTATCATACAAGAGATCATTGTTAGACTGACACTCCTTTTTAGTCATGTCATGGATTCACATCTGGTCGGGTTACACGAGCTCCGCTATGAATATCGAATCATGGGGATGGTAAGTGAAGATTGAGGCTGGAGGTGGTGTTAGTGGTGATGTTTGGCTGACCCCGAACTGCAGGTACTTTGAGTGGACGACCGCTTTCATTGGCTCCGGCATGCTTATTGGCATGAACTCTGCCTGCTCCATGATGGGAGGAGCCGTTCTTGCCTGGGGAGTTATCGGGCCCGTCCTCGTTCATTGTAAGCCTCTCGGAGCCTCTAGATACTCTTACTTGTTAGATACTAACAGTCATCAACAGACGGCGAATGCATCGGTGTCCAGGCCTCCGAAGACCCGAACTGGTCCGGTCTCTACTCCTTCACCTCCCTGAAGCACATCGGCCAAGGCCCGCCATCCCCCCGATACTGGCTGCTGGTGAGTCTATACTTGGTTCCCTCACGAGGCCAACCATGATCTAACAATACGCAGTGGCCCGGTGTCATGATCATGGTGTGCTCTTCCATGGGTGAGCTTATCGTCCACTGGAAGATCATCTACTTTGGCTTTGCTGCCGGCTGGAGGTCAATCTGCCTCTCCATCCACGAGACCGCGATGAAGAAGGGCAAGCGCATCGAATTCTTCGCAAAGTACGCAGAGGCGGAAGAGAAGCGCGAGGTCGATGCTGTCGAGGACCCCGCGACTCCCGAGCAACAGGTCAAGACCTGGATCTGGGTTGTTGGTCTCTTCGCTTCCATCATCCTGGCCTGCATCGTCATGGGTCTGCAATGGCAGGTCAACGTTGGTGTCACCATCCTCGCCTTGGTCCTTGCCTTCTTGTTCTCTTTCCTCGCCATCCAGATCGGTGGTGTCACTGATCAGACGCCCCTTACCGCTGCTGCCAAGGCCGCTCAGCTTGTTATCGGTGGTACCACCACTGGCGCCGGTTACACTATCCAGCACGCCCAGAAGATCAACCTCATCTCCGCCGGTCTCGCCGCCGGTGCTGCTGACGTTGCTACGGCTCTGACGTCCGATTTCCGTACCGGTTTCTTGCTCGGCACCCCTCCCAACAAGCAGTTCATCGCCCAGGCTATCGGAACCTTCGTCTCCGTCTGGCTCGCGCCCGGTCTGTTCGTTCTTTTCACCACTGCCTACCCTTGCATCACGGACGCCGAGGCAGAGCACTGCCCCTTCCTGGTTCCTTCCGTCAGTGCCTGGGCTGCCGTGGCCGAGGTTGTCACCAGCCCCAACGTCCCCATCCCTCGCTCTTCCGGCATCTTCGCCATTTGCCTTGGTATCTTCTCTATTCTCCAGGTCATCTTCCGCCACTACTACCTAGTTGGATCCCGCGAGAAGTACCAGCAGTGGCTTCCTAACTGGGGTGCCATTGCCCTGTCTTTCGTCATTCCCGGTCCCGTCTTCGTCAACGCCGCCTTTGTCGGTGCCATTATTGCCTTCATCTGGCGCCGCTGGAAGCCTGCTTCCTTCGAAATTGTGAGTGCTGATCTGACTATATCACGTTGTTACTTGGAAACAGAAGCTAATGATTTACTAGGCCTGCTACGCTATTGCTGCGGGTATGATCGCCGGAGAGGGTATGGGTGGTGTTATTGGCGCTGCCCTTCAACTCGGCAACGTCTCTAGTGACAGATATGGTACTGGAGGTCTGGCCTGCCCCGATAATGCTTGTTAAACTGGCAAAAGTTGTTAGAAGCACGTATAGTCTCTGTCGGGTGTTGGACGAGTATGAAGGCCGGAGGCCGTCACCTTTTCCAAGGAGCCTGGTCTTCAGTCCGGTCCTTGGTATTGGTGTATCATTGAGCCGCTCTGACTGAGCTGTTGATAGCTCAGTCCGAGGCCAGTTTCACTCCCATCATCCAGAGCTGCACTGCCCTCTACAAATATGATTGAAGATGTTAGCCATGAGTTATAATATTGTAATACAAAGATGAACCCCTCGAGGTCATTATCATACCCAAGAATCACTTTACTAAGAGCATGACACAAGTGGTTTCGCTCATTCCGACACAACATAACCCTCCGTCCCGTCGTTGCTCCAATCTATGTTGAGATTGTCCCACTCCAGGCCTTCAAGAACACGAACATTCAACGGCTGAATCTCGAGCTGTTTTCGCACAAACTCCTGCCTTGCCTCGGGGAGCTTGGCCACCAGCTCCTTCGGCGGCCCATACAGGTTGCCAAAGCAGTGCACACCGCAGGTGCGGCAAAAAGGCGACCCGTTGAATTTGCGGCCAAACTGATAGTCCAGAGTCTGGTCTTTACCGACGATACTTACCTCAGACTGATGAGGATACACACCGATGAAGCCATTCTAGCTCCCATTGTACATTAGCACATTTTGAACACGATGAGTCGGATCATGAACTCTACACATACGCGAACACATATACTACAGTTATCTTCCTTGATCTGAACTTCAGACAGAGGCTTGCTCTTGAGCGCGATTTGAACGGCACCGCAGTCGCAGCCTCCGGTGTAGAGCGTGAGGTCATCTCCAGGAATGTCGGGTAGCGAACCGCGGAACTCAGCCGGCGCAGATATAGATGCCTTTTCAACGATGCTATCTTGGATTCAGTCTTGTCCAGTACCATTTTGAGTTTCAAGGAACTCACCTCAGAGAGCCGGGATACGGCAAATATTCATCTGTGGTACCGCTGGTCACGGCGCTTCTTCCCTTGATGAATACTTGTTGGAAATCAGAGACAAGGACCCGGAAGTTGATGCCCCTCTTCCCAGCTTGAACGCCAGAATCGTGTGTTCCGAAGAGGGCGGTACCGCAGACATTGCAGAACTGGCGTCTCCTCATCAGCTAGTCGCCCCAAAAGACAAACAAGAAACTACTCTTACTAAGATGAGCGTACCTCATGCCTCAAAGCCTCACTATCCGACCCGATGTAAGCTGTCAATGTGTCGCTAGAGCACCCCTTTGTGATTTTCAGGCTATCATCGGCATCATAAATCCAGACATGCCCCTTTTTCACGCACAGCGAGCAGTCGCAGATCACCAAAGACGGATGCGCTGGTAGTTGGACCTCGTATCGATTCACGCCGCAGTGGCAGTTACCCTGGAAGGTTTTTAGTGCAGCCTCCATGGCGTTCCGAGTACGATGGCTATGAGGGGGCGTGTAAGTATGTGCCTAAGGCTCAGGTTTTCGGTGTACACCAAGATAGAAGCGTGGCTCAAAAGAGTGAAGTTAAGTACTTATGAAATCAGAATCCAAGGGTCTGCATTCACTGCAAGCACTGAAGCAGGCAGCAACCAGCAACTTCTCGCTTACGTGGGCGGCTATCGGCACAGCTATCTTTCTGCTACTATGCCCGATTCATCGCTTGCTCCGCATTTGGAGGATGACATGTTATGCATCACGATGGCACGCGACCTATACGACAAGACTCCAATTGTGAGAAGGTGATCGAGATTAGCACGTCGCAGGAGCAGCGAGTGTCACTCAATACATCGGGGAGTAATTTGGCCCGACTCTTGACTGGGACGTGCCATAGGATGGAGAGTCGACGCCGGCTGTGACGCATAATTTGGGTGCATTCGATTACAGCGTGGTCGTCAAGAGAAGCCTTAAAGGACTACTGGGGCGGGGTCTAAGGTAGACCATCGAAGGCCGCTAGTCCCCGCAGCTCCCTCGTAGAACGAAGTCTAGCATGGCGAGCATGAAATCATGCATTTGGAATTTAAGGCTTGATGTAATTGAACTTGATATTTCTACAGGGATACTGGACGAGGCAATGAGGACGCTTATGGCGATGAAGGAGGTAGCAGTAGCCAAAATGTTGACTATCATCGATTCGATACAGCCAGCGGGGTTCGTGTTGCGCACCCTCAACGGCGCTGCAGAGATTTGTCTTGATCAATGAAACGACAAGATGCCTTCGCTTTCATCCAAGTGTTTGAGCAGTTGGAAACTCACCTATGCGTTTGGTTAACTGATCATATCAAAGAAATTTATATGGAAGGAACCATGAACCAGTGATCACTGATGGTAGCGCAAGCAGTGGACTGACTAGTTCCGGCGACCGTCCGGCGACCTCCGGGTTTCTGGCGTTGTCCCGGAGAAGGTGGCCCAGCCGAGTATACTTCCCGCTGTTATTGACGAACGACCGGAGGTACCGCACACATCATCACCTTTGATCAACTTCAAGGTGTGCGACCAGAACCATTTTGAGCGAGTAAGGGCCAATCCACGTGGCCCACGCACCCTTGTGAGTTACTCATCGATTCGGGGGACTGACGGGGTTTGGGTGGCTACGGGGTCTGGTTGATCGATGACGTATCAATCCCCGAAGAATCATAGTATCATCATCATATGAATCCCTGACAGCCCTGCGTTTCTATCCAAGGTTTCCTATTGGGAAGCGAAATACTGATCCATCCACGCGATAAGCACAAATATCGGAGATGTTTTCTTCCAAGCTCTATCGCGTTGTACGCCCTCTCTGCAGCAGTGTATCTATTCAACCCCTCACCTCAAAACTAGTTCGGGCTGAGAAAGCTTTCTCGACTACCAAAATGTCTGCCTTCCCGACCCCGTCCAGTGATCCTCCCAAGAAGGAGATGCAGTATTTCCCCGATATGACTGCGGCCTTGCCGTCCGAGTCTGGAGAGTTCCGCCGTGTTCTTTGGACAGGCTTGTACTCCCAGCTAGTCCTGATGACTGTGCCTGTTGATGGTGATATTGGCGAAGAGGTACAAGTTTCACCTCCATTTCTACCATGAATTTGACTTACAAAGCCTTAGGTTCATACTGTCGATCAAATCCTTACCTTCACATCGGGCAAGGGTCTCGCGCAGGTTGCCGGCAAGGAGCAAGAAGTCAAAGCCGGAGACATGGTAATTGTACCGGCAGGAACCAAGCATCAGTTTTTGAACAAGGGGCCGACACCATTGATTTTGTACACGGTTTACTCTCCAGCTGAGCACAAGCCAACAACGGTTCATAAAACCAAGGAACAAGGCGACAAGGAAGAAGAGGATGGCATTGATGTGGCCCCAGAATGGAGTCAACGTAGCAAGGAGCAGAATGAGAAAGAGGGCTGGGTGAAAGGGGAATAGGTAACTTACTTACTTTAAAGTGTGAATGACATTGATGGCTCGACCGTACTTTCCTGGTTCCCCTGTTTTCGGAGTCTACTTCAAGGCTTCAAGTTGATAGTCCTGCCCGAATCCCTACATACCTTGATAGCCTGCGCAACCGGAGTAGTATGGTTTCATTGCTGACACCCAAAGGAGCAAAGCCAGCGGTCTCAGAGACCTATGCATAAACAGCGCATCTTTAGGAGCGCTGTCTTGTGGTTATCAATTTGACGCCTGATATCGGGGAAGCCGTAAACCCGGCATCTGTCTCAAATAGATCCGAGCTTGTTGTCCACGTTATCAGATTATGAAGCCATTCTCTGTGAGCGAAAGATTAAAACCTGAAGTAGGCATCTTAAATATAGAATATGGATATGTACCTCTCTCTAGGAGACCATCTGTCCTACCTTTGCTGAACGCGCGTATCTTGGTACGAGACTAGGGGCTCGGCAATTTGTCGAGTTAAGTCTCAATCGAGTCGCACAGCTAGGATATTGAGATACGAAGCATCTATCCTCTAGACAAAAGACGCCAAGAACATTGGAGAGATCAAGTTTTCAGGCATAAGAATTGCTTTGGTGATGCCCTATAGGCGCGCGTTATCGACCTCAGGAAAGTGAGGTCGAGTACGTGAAGTCGCTATTTCAGGGCGGCACCTTTCATATTTCGAACAAAGTTGTCGCCTTGACGGACGAGCGAGCGGGGGAACAATTTGCCCGACGGCTGACTAGGGGTGTTCAAAACAATGGCCTATAGACAAAGGTCCAATCAACTCAAGGAAGGGGTAATGATCAGTAATTGTATGTCACTGAAGTTGACTGCAGGACCCAGTCTTCAGCACTTTGTGTCAGTTCGGGAAGATAGAATACCCAACGGTGGACTTTTTGGATCATTCTTTAGCGATGTAGTTGGATCATACGTGAATGGAATTGCGTTCAAATCACGAGGACGTTTTACGGCTCAAGTCACACTTCTGGCTGAATGTATACGTCACAACCATTACTTGATTAGTCCGAACTGACTAGGATTCACCATGTCTGCGGATTAGACTGAACTTAGAGCGTAACGCAATCTCATGTTTTATCGGAGAGTTCATGAGTCCGTGCCGGAGATCTTGAAGTAGCATTTTCGTGACAGTAATTGCAAGCGGCGCTGCAAAGCCAAGTTTTATGTGGATAGCAGTATTGAGGCCATTTCTTATATCTAAACATATAAGCACCACGGCCATTTCAATATCTCACTAACATCGCATCAATTCATCACTCAAACTTTCCAACATCGAATTTCGAACCAATATGAGCCCTACCACAATCTTAGTCACCGGTGCTGGTCGCGGCATTGGCTCCGGACTGGTCGCTAGTCTCTTGCTGAGACCATCTTCAACAGTGATAGCTGCAGTCCGAGATCCTCCAAAAGGGCCTGCTCAAGCTCTACTCGACCTACCAAAGGGCGAAGGTTCCAAAATCATCGTCGTCAAGATCGACTCTTCCGCCGAAACCGACCCCGCGGAAGCCGTTTCTACACTACAGCGGGATCATAGCATCGACGCTTTAGACGTCGTTATCGCGAATGCCGGTATTGCCCATTCGAGTGGCCCTGTCATCAAGACTTCGACTACTGCAATCAGAGATCACTTTGCTGTCAACACGATTGGACCCCTCTTGTTGTTCCAGGCGACAGCCCCGCTACTCAAAGCTAGCAAGACTGGTCGTCCGGTCTTCGTCGCCGTTACCTCCATGCTTGGTACCATCTCCGGTATGGAGTCCCTGGAGAGTTTACCGCCGGCATTGAGCCCTTACGGAGCCAGCAAAGCTGCGTTGAACTGGTTCATTCGGAGACTGCATTTCGAGGAGACGTGGCTCACGAGCTTCGTCTTGCATCCCGGTACTGTCGCCACAGACATGGTGAATTCCGTAATCGAGGGGACCGACTTGAAGCTTGAAGATCTCGGAGCTATAACTGTGGAGCAAAGCGTTTCAAACATTGTGCAGAGGGTTGATACCGCGTCGAGGGATGTGAGCGGAACTTTTCAGAATCATGATGGAACTCATTTGCCGTGGTAAATCAACGGTTTATGGCCTTGCGATTGACAGAGCCGAGCAAGCTCGTACGCGTACCTACATAGACTAGACTAGAAAGTTTAACCTGGAAGATTATAAAGCCTCTCATGACCAGTGCCCCTCATCAGTTCCTCAGGGGAGCCAAACGGCATTTGCGCAGCAACCTCCGTCGTTAAGGTCCAAGTGAGCCACAACATCGGCAGAGGCACCATCATCGCCCATTTCCCAGATCTCCACGAAACCGGCAGAGCTGTCGGTGATAGCAACGAACTGATCGCCAAAGTCGCTCGGCGTGACAGCATTTGCGCTTCCACCGCTGGAGGTCGTGGGAGTCAGGAAGTTTTGCTTGTTTACAGATCCGTCGTCGTTGAGAGCCAAGATTGAAATGTACCCAGTGCTATTGGTATTGCGTGCTCGTGAGGTAGCCCATAGATATTTTGCGCTGTACGAAAGAGCAACCTCATCCGACCAGTACTCGGTATCGTTTGCGCCTTGATAAGTAGGCTGTTAGCAACATGAAGCTTCTCAAGGATGCAGGAAGCCGTAGTCAGACTCACCATCAGGAATCAGAGGGTATGAAATATTAGCATATGCTGGAATACCCGTGCTGGTGTCCATTTTGTAAACTCCGACCTCATTTGTTCCCTCGTGAACGACGTAAAGATAGTTGCCCGTGGGGTGAACAGTGCCATGCCGAGGATCGGCGCCTTCAACAGGAGCAGTAACATTGGCGACATATGTCAACTCTCCCGTGGTGTTGTCGACAGAGTGTACCCAAATGGCGTTCCCCGTGTCGTCGAGCGAGTACATGAATGCTCCGCTTGGGTCGAAAGCAGTACCATGAACTCCAGAGGAAGAGGAGTAGTTGTACTCCTGAATCGACTCAACGAGAAGACCATCCGAGTCTACCGACATGACGGTTCCACAAGCACCAAATGGTTGACCATAGACTGCATATGGGGAGACCGGCGATGGCCTGACGAAAATCGACAGTTGCTTGCAAGCTCCTTGGGAAGTCACCGTATTGCCGGGAGAGATCTGCAGATCATCGGTGAGAGGATAGCTCACGTAGACGCTGCTCCCTGTATCTTCAAAAGCATTTCCATAGATGACCTTCTTGTCATGCTGATTGCGCGCGTGAGTCAGTGGCTAGTCAAAAGGGTCCGGAATACTAACGCTTAAAGAGATCCATGAGCTGCTCACGTTCACAGACGTGTTAGCAGCCAAGGTGAGCGTGCGGGCAGCATCCTCAAATTCCAAGGTATACAGGTAAGGTGTACCGAACGTTCTGACAATCAGTTGATGGTTCAGGGCGTTCGTAGCTGCCATGAAACCTGATGCAAAGAGCACCGACTTAACGAAGCTGGGAAACATGGTGGACGAAGGAGAAGTTGAGGAGGTTGAAGCGACAGATGCTGTTGCTCTCGACAGCTACCTAGGATGGACTACATGCGCGTCTTATACGGTGGCTTGGCAGATTAGCCCCTTCACCGATCAAGAAAGTCAAATAGATTGACAGTATCCCTACTCTAGTTTGTTTCTGATATGCCTACGCGTTTATTCCATGGCTGGTGGGGAGGCCCTGACGATCTTCTGGGGTCTCGAATCCTAGCTCCTAGTGACGATGCTTGGTTTCACAGCGACCCGATTGGCTGAAGGTGTGGTGTAGGGGGCCAACAGATGCAGACGACAGCGGGAATTTGTGATATTCGTGACGGCCCGGAATGTGGGGGAACGGGGCAAGGATGGCTGTTATGCACAACTGACTGAGAGATGCGCCAGAACCGTATTGCGTAGGTCGGGCTGTTGTAGTTATTTTTGTTGAAATTGTAGGGTTGAATGTAACCTCGAGAGCAGTTTATATAGCTCATACCTCCTCTGTCAAGACGTGAAGGTCCACGATCGACATCGTCATCAGAGGGGTAGATGATCCGACCACACGACCACGTAAGACTACTTCAATGTTGAGCATCGTTTGCTTCTCATTTAGCGACGTTTCAAGAGGAACATTCACAACTCAAGATTAACAGTAGCCCGAAAAGTCTTTCGCATAGATCGACTGCAGCGGAAGAATACAGTGAGTACCTGAGTAAGGTATGTTGATTTGATGGAGCCGGTATCTGAAACTTTCGCAATCCCATGCAGAGTCATCACCCAGACGACCACCCATATCAGCTTGCTGCTGCCAAAAACCTTGGACGCGATAGTTATCTTTGAAGGACATCGGAAAAATGAACCTGGACACAGGGGACCCGAAAGACGGACGCGTGTAAGCCACATAGCGACTGCAATGCGCAATGACTTCAAATCCTTGCTAAGTCGTTCGTGGCACTGCATTAGCATCATAAGCCTAGCCGTCAATACTACTATACTTATTGGTACTGCCCTATAGTCTTTAGGCTGTGACATATCTCATGAATATACTCGAGATTCAGAGATTGTGAGTTCGAATGAGGCTTGGCTTAGCACACCGATGAGCAATGGCTACTACAGAACTACACGCAGACTATTCCTACCGTTCCCATTTGATTCGACCTTTGACATCACTCTGGGGCATAGAAGACTAAATCCTGATTCACGGGCAGTATTACTAGGTATATCCTGATCAAAGCTTCCCGTCCATATAATCTGCGTACAAACCCGGCAAGAAAGAAGCCAAGTTAGTAAACTCGGTCTGATCATGAATGAAATGCTCATAGGCAATGTTGTCTCCAGCCATGCGATGCTTGAAACCCAGCGCGCCAGCAAGGTAGTCGATCCCAACCTTCATACCCATAACTTTGTAGTGAATGCCCCCACCAAGCCAATATCGACTTCGCAGTTCGAGGCCATCCTCAGTCTTGCGCCAGAGGTGCAGAAAATCCCCAATCTTGAGGTTTGAAACCAAGCCATCGCGCAATTCCGCACAAACGGCGGCCTCGTAACCTGCCGCTTTGAGCTCCTCCCACGGCAGGCCGTACTGAGCCGGGTCGACAAAGTGGATATTCACGGTCATTTTGGTTGCACCGATGAACTCCGTTACACGGTGCGTGGAGCCGAGCCACTTTTGCGTGTGAGAGAGGTCAGTGCGATGCAGCCGGTCCGCGTAAGTCGACCGCGCAGCCAGGTGGTCGTACGGAAACCACAGGGCATAGCGCTCGGGCTCGACGCTGTGCCACCAGAACCACCAGCGGACCATGTCTCCTGTCGATCCAGGGAAACGAGTCCGTGACGTGACGTACGCTGTCCCGTCAGGGAGGGAACGCCATCCATTCTCGTGGGCGTGGTAGCCGGGTTCCAGGAGGCGGCGCGATTCTGTGATTGGGAGAATGCCCTCTACTGGCATTGGCTCGCGGATAAGTCAAACCCCCCACTTCCTGGCACCCCCCTGTTTCTGGCACCCACAAAAACGATGGGATCACAACCCAACCTCCTCATTACTATTAACTATTGATCCTCAACCACACCCACTACAATACAACTGCCAGCCTCACTAGGGCATTCAGAGTCGCTGGATTCAGCCGTAATAACCTCCTTTTCACCCGCTTCGATTTGAGCCCGATGGATATCCCTGATGTTCGCAAACTTCGTGTTGGGATCGATCTGAACAGTCTTCCTCTTCCTAACTGCAGCGTTGGTAACTTGAGCCCTCAGGTGAGCCAGCTGCTGCTGGGCAGCTGCCAGTTGCCAGGCCTGCTCTGTGAAGCCTTTTTTCACCTTCCTGAACAGCAGCCGTTGAGTGCTGGTATCATTGTCGAGTTGGGTGTATAAGTGCAGTTGACCGCTGAGCTCTGCCAGCTTCCTGGGTGTCGACCAGACCACTGCAGAGGAAGCAGAATCCCATGGCTCAACAGGGTAGTTTGTTGACCATTATGGCATCTTTTTGCCCCGACTGGTTGGTTTGGGTGTGGTGGAAGCAGAAGGCTCAGGTAATACCATAGGGTTCATCAGGGCTTAACCATCGCTACAGGGTGTAGACCAGTCCACTTCCAACCACTTCTGATGTTCGAGACTGATAGACCAGCAAGTCGAGCCTTCTGGTAACAGTCCAGGAAGTTCCTTTTACCTATAATGGTAGAGTCGTTCCATTGAGACAAGTAACCGAGCTCCTTCCGATAGGCTGACTTAACAGGGCTGAAGACAGACTGGTCAAGTGGCTGGAGGACATGAGAGGTGTGGTGGTAAGAACAGTAAAAATGGATATTGTTAATATAGCAATTCCACATGAAGTCTGTCGTCGTATGACTCCCATGCCCATCCACAATCAACAGTCGAGCCTCGCCCTCAGCCTCGGGCATAGTCTGTGGGATAAACACCTTCTCTAACCATTCAATGGCAGTTAAGTCTGTAGTCCAGCCATTATCTGTTGCTGTAAACTCCCACCCATCGTATGGAACCAGATGTAATGGAAACCACTGTTGTTGGACCGTCTTCCTTGAAAATGATAAGAGGACGAAGTGCCCTACCCAAGGCTGAGATACACTCAATGATAGAGACCCATGCCCTCGACCCAGGTTGTTTCTTGCGAACAGACGTCGTCTCAGCCATGCCCAGCACTAACCCATTAGCTCCCTGACCCTCGAGGATGCCAGTCTCATCCATATTATATCTGTTGGCTGGTTTGATGTCCTTGATCTCAGGGATAGCAAGGAACAAACCAGTTCCTAATGACCTCAGTAGATGCCCCATTAACGCGTCTAGAATCGATGGAACGACTTCTCTGAACCTTAATGATAGGGTTCCTTCTCACGAAGGCATAGATCCAGCCTTTTCTAATGGTTTGGTATCCCCAGCAGCAGCCAGAACTCGCTCTGCGAATTCCTTCACCTGTTGGTGCGTTGGTGCGAGGCCCAGCGAAGCCTGAATGCGAACCCATTGTGCCAGCTTACTCTCCTGGTCAGGAGACAGCCTCTGCCAGTCAGCAAAAGCCACTTTCCTAGTCTGACCACCTTGGAGACGTAGTTGGAGGGTTGATCGTGGTATCCCATACTCCAATGAGGCTCTCTTTTGACTCTTGCCGTTTGAGATGTCCTCGAGAGCCTGACGAAGCTGATCTTCGGTATATTGAGGCATTAGATATAGAAGAAGGTATGTGCAAAAAATGAGCCCATTTGGACTCGAATTGAAAATGTTGTGATAAAAGGAGGTTGGGGGTGGGCATTGCGTTGTGGTGGATTTTCGCGTTTTTGTGGGTGCCAGAAACAGGGGGGTGCCGGGAAGTGGGGGGTTTGACTTATACTGCGGAATGTCGGCGTAGAGGTAGAGATCTTTGTTGCAGTATTTCGCATACAGCTTGCTCTTCATCCGGTTCTCATTGTAGGTGAATGCCTTTTGTGTTTCGAGTGGATAGTACGTAAGAGGAATTTTCTCTGGGTAGCCATCTTTGTCGGGATTGTGACTTTGGTTCGTTGCCGTTGCCGTTGTGCTTGGTGTTTGGGTGTCATTTCTACTGGGCACCGTTCCCGTCACTAATTGGCCTCTTAGTGCGGCGATTCGCGCCGCAGACCTTTGACGCAGGGATCCAGATCCAGACTCCATCATGCGACTTTTGCACCGTCTTCTGGGCTTTGGTGTCGAGTAGAGGAGAGAAACCAAGACGGGCAAGTCAGTACGACATTTATGGCGCTGAGCTTAATATTAACCGCCAGGGCCGTCGAGGCTTGTGCGGAGATCCCCCAGGTTTGACTTCCATCTGAAGTGCGCCCCTTGACCTCGGCTCGGTTCACGTGTTGCTGAAACCCCGTAATTGTACGAACGACCTACCTATCGGATTGGATCTTTCGGACTTTCACAGTTTTGCACAAGAAAGACATGCCACTCATCAACTACCTTCGGGATTTAATGCCAGTAGAAGTAGGGAAACATTGCTCATCATCAAGGACTGTGACTTTTCTTAGTCCAGATTCTCGGGGTAGGTCCCGAACCAGTGGAGAATCTTGTTGAAAAGGTCAATGTGTTGTCTAGGTTTACACAGACTCCAGTGGTATAATTGAGCCGGACCATCCTGGATCTTTGCAACTTGCCTTGATATTTGCTCTAATCATCCTACTTGTCACCTACTTGCTTTGCTGTACGATGGTCATGTGACAGTCTTATCGTCTTCTATTGAGCACAGTAATGCCAAAGACTTAAGGATCTGACGAAGTTGCAACACTTCTGGGGCTCTTGATTAGTTGTGTATCCTGAACTGGTGGCACAATGAAGTAGGTGCAGAGCTCACATCGTGGCCTTCATCCGTTACTGCTGTCAAGGTATCAGTTGAGGAAATTGATGGAAGACGCCTCTGTCGTCAGCGGCTGGTGAAATTTATGGTATCTTCCGGTGCTGCTGCCGCAGTAACTAGCGCGGGACGATCCATCCTACGTACGGGCCATTGCTTCAGTCACATAAGCATAAGAAAGCTGACCACACCATACTTCTCATACCACGCCTCAGCCATTCTCAGGACATTCTCAGGTAAACCACCATTCTGGACTTTCATCATTGTTGATCTGAGCTGCAACGTAAACTATGGCTGCTGCAAAACTCCTGAAAGCTCCCAGTGTGTTCGCCACGTTTATCCGGGGCGGCACTAGCAAAGCACTCTTTTTCCACGCAAAGGACCTTCCCAAATCAGGCACAGCCAGAGATAAGTTTCTCATACGTGTCATGGGATCGCCTGATCCCGGCCAAATTGACGGAATGGGCGGCGGACGCATCGTAACCTCAAAAGTTGCCATCATCCAGCCTTCAGAGAGGCCTGATGCAGACATTGACTACACATTTGCTCAAGTCGGTCTCGATGAAGCATCTGTCTTATATGACGCTAATTGTGGGAATATCTCAGCTGGTGTTGGTCCTTTCGCAATCAATGAGGGGCTGTTGAAGACAGAGAATTGGCAAGATCGCAAGAGAGTGGTCAAAATCTACAACACTGGAACAGATGCAATCTTGGTTGCCCATGTTCCGATTGATGCTTCAAATGGACGAGCATTAGAGAAGGGCGACTATTCAATATCCGGATGCCCTGGAACCGGTGCTCCTATTTTAATGGATTATTCGCAGGTAAGTTTGGCCGTAAAGCCAGATTCAAGTTAAACGTTGCGATGCTGACCCGAGCCGCAGACAGCAACACCTGAACGAATGCTACCCACTGGCAACCCGACAGATACACTCGAATGCACATTTGGCACAGTCGAAGCTACGTACTGCGAAGTTGGCAACGCTATCGCGTTCATCGCCGCGCAGGACCTCGGCATCCAGGGCAACGAGATAGTGAGCGCCATTGACAGCAATTCTGAACTCATCGCTCGCGTCCGAGAAGTAAGAGGGCGGATATCTGAGAAGCTTGGCAAATGCAAAGACTGGGATCAGGTTGATGGACAGTCCCCAATGCTTCCGATGGTTGCCTTGGTCTCAAAGCCAACCTCAGAAGAGGGACATATTCAAGCACGCCTGTTTCTTGATAATCATTGTCACCCAAGCATGGCCGGCACAGGAGGGGTTTGTACGACTGCTGCGAGTCGAATCGAAGGCTCAGTCCTCAATCGCCTGTTGAGTCCTGCCACATTAGCCTGTGGCACTCTCAAGATCCAACATCCTGCGGGCCATCTCCCAATGTCTGTCAAAACCATAGCTGCAGGGCAAAGGAAAAAGTTGCCTGCTTTCAGCGTTTTGGGTTTCGTCCGCACTGCGAGATATATCTTCCAGGGGCAACTGTTTGTTCCCAGCGACATCTAGGAGGCGCTCCTTGCACCCTCTTCATGTCTTTGAGACAATTTCATGCCAAGTATAGCATCTACGTTCAAGATTTAGATGGTCAGGTGGATGGTTCAGGCTCTTTGAGAAGATGTACAGTATGGCGATCCTGTGCAACGCTCGTGTGTCGGCACTGAATGTGAAGCATTTGAGCACTCAAGAGACATTTGGACATGCAATATCTCCATCAAACCACCAGTGACGAGGAGTTCGATTCCTTAAGGTAAGCACTCAGGCATGAATTGACAAAACAACAAATTGACAGCTCTTTAGTAAGTAAGTAGTAAGATGGGAGTGATTTTCTTGCCACAGTATCCAGTCCATTGTACGATAATCTGCTTCGACTGCCCGAAGAAAGTAAAGTAAGGCAAAGAGGCATGTTTAGGCAGCTCAACCGCAACAGAAGCCCTGACAGCTTCATGTTGTCGGCTGCATGGATCGCACGCTGATGTGGTCAGTTGAAGCTAGGAAGACGAAACTGATGGATCCCAACGGCCAGCTTTCCAAAATCCTGAAATCTGCCATGGAAGTGTTTGGTGGGATTATATGACCCGGAACATGTTTTCCTTGACACCTCTTTTCAATCCTTCGGCCTTTCCGCTTTCGTATTCAACCCCAGATGCGCCGCCGTCTCCTGAGATGCCCTCGAGCTTCAATCGCAGCTCCTCATCCTGCTCCGCTATAGTCTTCTTCCTATTTCTCGACTGTGCATTGGCATCGACGGGCGATGTGGTTTCTATTGTGTCTTTGCGAGCGGTCGTCTTGGAAGTTGCGGTGTGTGGCGAGGCGGTACTCAGACGCGTTGAGAATTTGAGCGCGTTTGTTCTACCTGACGCGGCCGACACGCGTCTTGCTGTCGGAGTGAGCAATCTCAGCGGCGGTTCGGCGATGATTTTCTGTAGCATTTGATACTTGTGGTTGAATCGTCTGGGAGTAGCGAAGTTGGTGAGGTCAGAGTTCAACAAAGGATGCAGTTGTATATTTCCGTCGTCTTTCGTCACGCTTATTTCATAGATGGCCCATGCGTCCCCCAGAGGCTGAACAGAAAGCGAGAGACCACCGACATCTTGGGGAATGATAGGTGAAGAACCAGACAATTGGGCAAGCATTTTACCAAACTTTACATTATTTTCGGCATGTTCATACATGGTCTTTGTGAGAACTTCAGGTGACTTATATTTGGATGTCCCGCTGGGTCCTTATGCTCCGTCAGTCAAACGAACAGCCGTTGTTGGGGCCGATTGATAGATTTCTTATGTAATGTGCTCAGAGGATCGGTCACCTATGTACAAGAACTACACACTCTGTTGATCCTCAACACACGAAATCAACTTAATTGGTACCTGGAACTCTGGTCTAGGGGAGTCACTACGAAGGAATGAGTGATTGACTATCTACAAGGTGCGCATCTTCGCGGTTTCGATAATCCTTATGAGCTGTACATCGTCGCTCGAAGGGGTAGCGTCTCGTCGCGCTGGTGATCACAAGCCCCTCGGGGTCCTTTACACTTTCGATCTGCACAGGGATGCGATTCGAAACTTCAGGTCTCCCAGCGAGGGAAAACATCGCCTTCTAAAAAGAGGAAACATTCAGCTACACAGCAAAGCGATGCGTGTGACGTAACATATCCGTTCACGGAGCCGAACATAGCTTATTCCAAGCCTTTGATCGGAGCAGACGGCACCGCTGTAATAGTGGCTGTGCCGCTCTGCCTTACTGACCAAGACCCCATCAGGGCTTCTCCGAGACAAGGTTACACATCCTTCGCGAAGACACAACCAATGACCTAGAAGGCCTGTAAATCATGCCCCATTTTGGAGCCCGAAATTTAGGTGCCTAGTAAGCTTCCAGAACAAGACCCTTATCACAGGGCGCAACATTCTCCTTGGCTGCAGCATGTGAGAACACCTGAGCTGGGCGTGGCCTCATTCTGCACCCTGCTCAGCCACTCGTGGTTGTTGGTTAAATTGGCGAACGGGTTACAATCGCTGCGGCGAGAAATGAGGTACCTACGAGTTCCTTATTTGAGGATCATACACCCCACGCCGAGGAACACCCAACACGGAGTCTTTGACTGCACGGCATTCACCTACAACTTAGTCTCTCATTCTCTGATTGCACCGTACTATACTCAGCGGTAACCAAAACGACCCAGTCAGCAATCGCAACTCATACCTACCGCCCAAGATGACAACACAACCTTCCATGCTTGATGTTGATGTGGAACCGCCGACGTATGACAACACCGTCAGCGACTCCAGGGCTCAGCTTAGCTGTGGAGAGACACCAACCTTGTTCCTGGACAAAACGACAATCTTCGCCCATACCTCGCCACCTCGCGCACTCTATGAGCTGAGCAACGTCGTGACCGACGCAAAGTCATTGGTGTACGGGGTTCAGAAAGTGGTGTACAGAGTGTCTTCAGAAGCTGGCAGCGACAAAGTGAGAACGAGATTAGACCACATCTACGACTTCACGCAGGACCCGCTCAAGGGACTTGAAAGCTTTAGTATGCAACTCAACGATGTCACGGTTATTCAGGGTCAGATGAGCTCCAAGAGGACGTATAAAGAAGTTTACCTCATGCCCGGCGTCTCTGGGTGGAAGGTGAAGGATCACTTCAAAGTCGGGGACAGCGCGGTGCACCAGATGAAGCACCAAGATGAGATCCACTGGAAGAACATGAAGGGAGAGGTTGTCGCTATTGAGTCAATTGCGAAACGAGACAAGGAGAAAAAGCTGTTGGGCATGCCCCAGTTGGATGTCATACTTCCCATGGACCACAAGGAGTTGGACCTATTGGTAACAAGCTGGATGGCGAGGCTCTGGAGGCAGTCAGCTGATGAAACCAAAGACCCCATGACCTGGAAAGACTGTAAGTGTTCTGATCCCCAGCATCGTCTATCGCTTGAAAATCCTGCACAATCACATACTGATTTCTGCATGTACGCAGTCAAAGAGATTTCAAAGATCGCCCTTAGCAGAAACAAGTTGGGAAACACTTGGGCGCTAGGCGGAGCCTAGGGTTGATCTTATAGCGCAGACTATGTGCCTGACGTACCTGAAGTGTTTGCCCATGCAGCAACGTTAGTGGATAGGCCACGAGTGGCGTAGAGATACCCATGATTTCGAGCACAGCAGCGATTAAATAACGAAAGACTTCTGTAGATAGAGGTTTCTTGGGGTTTTATGTCGATGGCAATCTGACTTATGATGGAATCTGAGAATAATTACTTTCAGTACAAGAGCGGCTTGTAAAGCTGAATCTTGCGCTTGGCCGTGACTGCTACTCGCGAATCGGTTGCTTGTCGGAGTTTCTCCTCCCACCCGCTTGTAGTCCCAATTCTAGAGCCATCAGTCCCCAATGTGTGCTATACGATAAGAATTCGCCCCAAGGCTCTTTGAGAGATAAGATGAAGCTTCGAGATTAATGAAGGCCCGATGTAATACTTGAGCTTAATTCTACCCAAGGCATTACACCTTCAAGGGTCGCTTAAGGCCAGTATGGTTAGCAAGGATCCTGCTCCACATTGGGTGGTAAGATAAAATCGACTCTGATAGCTTGTGCCAGTCAAGATATATCGACACACATCCATAAGCACTCTAGGTATCAGCCGGGTATCGTATTCCTCACAGCGCGCCTAGTCTACCAGTAAGACCCCAAACAAGAAAGAATCCCTGATGGCAGCCGCTAAGCACGTGGCCTGACGGTGCGGGGCAGTGGGAAGTGCTAAATGCAGTTGGTGATCATACGATGACCCGACTGACATTATTTCCGCAGTGATGCCGACATACCTTCGGGACCGGGAACTTTGGGACGACAAAGTAACGCCACGAGAGGAGAAAAGCACAGTACGTCGTCACTTACCGGGCTTCCGTTCGCCCAGCCTTCAACTACATAAGTGCGACTCCCCATCTTCAAGCTTCCGCTTCATGTTCCCACCCATCCCTTTGATTACCAGAAGCATAAATCGTTTCTAATAACACTCGACGGCAATACTTACACCTACCACCATGAGAGCCGCAAGATATTACGGCAAGGAGGATATCAGGATCGAGCAGGTTCCAGAGCCACCATGTGGCCCTAATCAGGTCAAGGTGAGATTTCCCCAGTGTTTCCTCCTCAGTACATGGTCCGCCCGGCATCTACCCCGCGCGGGGAAGATGTAGGGACTGTAGCATTACTTTTGGAGTTCAGACTTGACACTGACACGCATTTCGCCTTTCCCCCAGATTGCCCCGGCATTCGTCGGTATCTGCGGGACTGATCTCCACGAATACCTCGGCGGCCCGAACTTCTGCCCCTCCTCTAGACATCCGGTCACAGGCGACCAGATCCCCGTGACGCTTGGCCATGAATTCTCCGGCATCATCAAGGAGATAGGCTCAGATGTCAAGCAGGAGCATCTCAAAATCGGTCTCCCTTGCGCCGTGCAGCCCACCATTTACTGCGGCAAGTGTGCTGCCTGCAAAGCCGGTGCTGAGAATGCGTGCCACACCGGCGGCTTCATCGGACTGAGCGGCTGGGGTGGCGGCCTGAGCGAGGCGGTGTCGGTCCCCGCGGATCAGGTCTTCCCTTTGCCCGAGGGCATTCCTCTCGAGCTGGGCGCCTTGGTGGAGCCGCTTTCGGTAGCTTGGCATGCCGTCTCTGCCACTACCGTCACGTCAGAGTCCAACGTTTTGGTGATGGGAGGCGGTCCGATCGGGCTGGCCGCTGTGCTGTGTTTGAAGGCGAAGGGGGTTTCGAATATCATGGTAGCGGAGATTGCCACCGCCAGGCAAAAGTTCGCAAAGGAGTTTGGAGCAGCACACATCATTGATCCCAAAAGCCAAGATGTTATGGAAGAGGTGATGAAGATTACTGGTGGCATTGGCGCTGATGTCACACTTGACTGCGCAGGTGTACCGGCTAGGTGTGTAGTCTGTCCACTTTTCTTGCAGTCCTTTTGCTAACGCTTGGAATAGTGTGAAAGCTGCGTGCATGGCCGTCAAGACACGCGGCACGGTCATCAATGTTGCGATCTGGGAGAAGGAAATTCCCTTCAACCCGAATTGGGTAACGTGGAGAGAAAGCTCGTATAAGTCTGTACTTGGATATCAGAAGAAAGATTATCAGGCCGTGATTGAGAACTTGAGAACAGGTAAGGAGTCTCGTTCATTCCGATTACGCGAACCGCTACTTACTAATAGGTTGTTAGGAGCCCTCAAGCCTGCCTCCATGATCACGAGGAAGATTTCTTTGGACGATCTTGTAGAGCATGGTATCAAGGCGTTGATTACGGATAAGGATAACCAAGTCAAGGTTTTGGTTGATGTTGGCGCTTCTCTGTGAGAGATGATAACACAGCGTTGTGAGCTGAGGCTGTAAGGGGAGCCATTAGACGGTATGCCGTGACATGGGAAAGGCTTCGAAGGAGCGAAGTTCGAAAATGTATCTTTGCTATGCTTGTACTACGTATTTGTATCGTATGAATCGATGGAACCAAATCCATCTTATGGGTCCTACTTGAGTCTCTATTTCTTGCAGAAGCAGCCACACTTGCCTCCAGCCTCGTTCACACTCTGAAGCACAAAATCAGCCCCGCATTGTCCTTCTTGTCAGCACATGTAACGCAACAGTCTTACTATGCATCTTTTCAGGTAGACAAATCACTCACCTCACGCGGACAAGCCGTCGTGCAAAGCCCCTCGATGCCTCTGCACCCAGCGTTTGAGAGCTGTCTGGAATGTTAAACAGTTAGAATCAGTGTCCAAAATAACCCTAAGCTTACGTTATTGTTGGCAAAGGCTCTGCGGTAGGACTTCTGGGCAGCTGCCTGACCAACCAGAGCCATGGGAAGAATCACCGAGAGAATGCTAGGCAATTGCATTCTCGAACCTTGAGCGGTATTCTACTCAAGTATCAGGGTCTAAACCGAAGATCTCCTGGCTTTTAGAGTCTGTAAAGGGGTGTGCCGAAGAAGCGAGTGGAACCACTCAGCCCCTGAATATTTGTCAAGTTGACGACCTGCTTGAAAGGCCAGAAGTCGGTTGAGCTTCTCTTCCTGCCCTTCTATAGACTAATGGCAGTCGAGCACGAGTACCGACTTTTCTGCCCACCCAAAGACCGTAGGTGCACGGCAGTCAGTCAGTATTGTGGGCACATGTCATGGAAATTTTCCGAACGCCCTGGTCTCGAACAAGATCAGCATATTGAGGTGATTTGAGGAGGATTACAGGCCATCAGAGATTCCGTCAAAGAAAGTTTGGAACAAACGGATCCCACGGATAGTTTGCTGAAATTCTAGGGAATGTCATTTGACGTTCTTTATGATGAGACTCCTCAGATAATTGAACTGATTGAGCTTAACCCGTCCGGAAGGAGAAGTCCGTGTGGATCTTGCCAATTTCCATGGGTTCGGGATAGGAAGATTCTCTATGGCGAGCTCGACAAGGATACTGTTGACTTCCGAATCACACAACGATGGCAAAACGCCCATTTCAACATAGATTGTTTCAAAGAAAGGTCATTGGGAACAAGTATGAGGCGTTTGGATACCCACAAGACTCCCCCCACCCCATCGCCGCGTCGTATTCATACTCATGACTTGGAATATCACTGTTCTGCGACTTTCATCCGATATCTACGGTACCTAGAATGAATCAGGACCTCACCTGGGGCGATAATCACAGCCTCTCGATTTTGTATTCCTAGCAGTACGACAAAATTAAGGATCGTTGATTCGTCCAAGTACCGAGGCACAATAAGACGCTGAGTTTTAAATTCACAGGTCAATAAGTCCAAATAATCTCTCAGTCTTATTTCATTGACGATATGGGATGCTCTCCTAAACAGATAGCCGTCGTATCTACTAAAGCTTACGTGGACAAAGAAACCGGGGATGCTACTTTGAGTGTTCTGCGCTGCCAGCGAAGTTTCGGCTGGCGGAAACGCACAACTTGATTTCACTGGATGACAACTAGGAGTTCTTCACCAATCAGATTCCAGAAAATGAGACAACCGCAATGCGCACCACTCCTCCGTCATTGATCACGAGTTTCTCTCTGTGAAGTTGAAAAAGGAAATGTTTCGAAGCGGGGTTTTCCTCATACTCATACGGAGTAGAGCGACGTAGGGTTTGTTCTTCATAGAGGTCGGCGAGATGGTAACGTTTCGAGGATACGCCTACGAGATTTTGTACACAGGGCCAACGCACTATTCCCACTTCCTGAATCCATGAATTACCTCAAATCATCCGATGAACTTGAAACGTAACGGTTAAACACGACAAACATGATAGCATAGTGGCAGTTGTTATCCACTTATGACGTGATATTGGTTACATCATCGAATGAGATCCACCCATCGTGAGGTTTCCTCTCTATTCCCCTTCTCAACAGACACCCGATTAGCGATCCCTACCACAGATACCGGTGCCCACATTGCGAGCATACGACAAGATGGATGATAATCCATTGTACGGCGGAAGGCCAAACAACCTCCAGCTCATGGACGAGCATCGAAAGCTGAGACAACACGTCAACAAATACGGCAAGGAACTCGAGCTTCTTTGGCGCACATTCGACCAGAAAAAGCGAGAGAGGTTAGTCAATGCCGCCAACGCCGATGACAATGCCCTAAAGCATCGAGGGGACAAGTCTTACAAGCGCCACATGTTTTTCCCCGAGTGGAACCTCCGCGAATTGTGCAAGCCCGGGTCGGATTACCTGTTTGACCTCATGCACCAGCGCAGCAAACCGGACCTCATTGATCAGTACCGGGTCGGGTTATTTGGCTTCGGCGACAAGGAATAGATAGAGAAAAGTATGCGTGATAATCGCCTCAACGTTCCTGGACGCTTCCCGAAATCTTGCTACATTATGTTCGTCGACAGCTCGCAGTACGGAACGGCCACCCAACTGAGCACACCTGAACAGAGAGATGCCATGCAATTAGGGATCAGCATGGGAAACATCGTACCCCAAGATGTTGGAGAAATGATTCTGCTCCGGCAATTATGGACCATGCAATCGCTCAATGACTTGGTGGATACAATTATTGCCGATGTTCATGCGGGCGAGGCTGCCAGAAGTGGCTCTAGCCGTCAGTCAAAGACCTCGCAACAGCAGACTGACGACTTGATTTTCGGCAAACGTCCAAAGAAGCCGAGCAGCACAGACACAGAGGAGATCACGGAGAAAACCATAGAGGAACTCTTGAAGCTCAACATCGGTAGAGAATCGGAGGCGGACGAGTCTCCATTCGCCCCATTAAACAACGCTGCGGAAGAACAAGTGAGGGCTCATGAAGTGTATCTTTCTATGCTCGCAACGGAAGAGGACATGTTCGCTGAGGATGTTCACCGATGGTTCTCTAGTCGATCAGAGCTTGTGGCTGATGACAAGGGTCGCGCTCTTCCGTTACAGGCCGACAAACACAGCAGCGGCGCGGTTCTGGACGCGGCTCATAACGCGGTCAAGAATGTCATTGTTTGGTCGTGGATCGAGTCTCAGATCGCTGACCTCGATTACGCAGTCACCGAGGCACGTGATCAGAATCAACATGAACATTACGATAAATTTTATCAATCGATCTGTCTCCAGGAACTCTCTAATGTCTGTAACTATGAGTACACCCGGACTCAATCCCTTTTAAGGTGGAATCTGTCTAAGGGATCCAAGCTGATGAAGAGGGTAACCAACGGCCTCGACCCCGCTGGAAATTATGCACTCAAGCTCAGGGGCAAGCCCCAGGAGTTCATCAAGAGTGATCCACAGCTTCACATTCTCTTGACCCTTTGCCAACCCGAGACCACAGCAGCCAAAGCCGTTTCGTGGCTCAAGAAGCTGGGAGATTTGTACCAAAAGATACCCCTCGAACGTGAGAAGTTCTCTGAGGAAGTGGTCGACTAGCTGGGAAGCCTCGCAATCATCGTCAATTTTATAGAGAACGCGACCAAGGCTATCTCGATGCCTCCTCCTTCGCGCAGAAAGGGCCAGATGTTGATTATTCGGGCGCAGGAACTTGAAGCTGAAATCAACGAACTCAAGAAGGATCTCGACCTGAGCGAATTTGCCGTCCCCGTTAGCAAGCTCAAAGAGCAAGGCAAAACAGAGGGGGCCTTGAAGCGTCTCGACGAATTTCTTGTTGCTGAGGCCGGTGCTAAGATGAGCGACCTGTACAGTGTTATGTTGACTGAATGCGGGTCCTACTTTGGCGAGCAGCACAGAGACGCCAAGGCCAAAGGGAAGATGGAATGGACACCTCTACCGATCGATACGCCCAAGACTAGGGAGGAGGTTATTGAGCTCCGCAGAACTTCGGCAAAGGATAACGCTAAAGACCCGACTGAGCCTACAAAGCTCTAGAGTTTTGCTATTGGGGCAGTAATCCACTTTTCTGGCCAATAGGAGGCTTTATATTAGCGCGCGGGCTACTTCCCTACATATTTATTAGCTACGCTATTTTAAGAAGTAATAGTCGTACTTACCTACTTATAGTACCTACGGTCGTAATTACCCATAGAAGGTCGTAGCTTTTTCTAGCTACGCCTACTTATAGGTATAATTAATCACTAATAGCGCCCAATTTTATATTATATAATCGCAATAATTAAGTAATTACGACCGTAAGTAGTGCGTACCTTACGTAAGTACGGAATTAGTAGTAGGTACGTGCGCTCAGTAGCCCGTGGGCAGGCGCAGTAGGGCTATTGGACTTGAAGTTCTGTCTAAGCGCTTTAATTGGCTGGAAAAGTGGGTTACTGCCCCAATAGCCAAACGGTACTGCGCCAATAGCAAAACTCAAGCTCTATGATATTATTCATAGCAACAAGTGGGCTGCTGAACTGGACGAAACCGGATTCTATCTTTCTCCCCCAGGCTCGATTCACGTTGACTCGCTTGCGTTTGAAACCTTCACGAAGCTCTTTGGGAACTCCAAACCCGGAAAGCGGATCATATGGGAAGATCTCGAGTACTCGTTGGAAAGAATCGGGTTCTCGTCGAGGTCTATATACGGGATCTGCACTTACTTCATTGCAGACAAGGACATTGCAGAGCTGCCGCTTGCTATCAAACACCCGTACAAGTCGGAAGTCTCTGGCCGAAAGTCTGTCATACTTGCCCGGAGATTGCTGAAGGCTCACGAGTGGAATGCGAGCGCATGTAAGTTGGTTTGATGGATAATCGGCTCTTGAGGTATCATTATATTACAGATTGAACTACCTCTGGAATACGTTCGATAAGTCAACTTCGGTTAGGGGTCGTAAGACATCGTGAAAATAGTCTTGCGTCTTTTTCTATAGCTATGTGAATGTCTAGCAGCTGTTCCTTCGGTTTGTCGCGTTTTATGATGATATAGTACTCTCTTTCATTCCATGTGTAACACCGCTGCTTTTGGATCGGCTTCGCCTAAGCTGCAACTACAATACTGTCAGCTGTTTATAAGCCCATGGTATTCGACAATGTTGAGCTTGAATGATACGTCGCGGCCCGAGTCCGATAGTGTGTCAATAAGACTCGTGTCACGAGTTATGGCACACAGCAATGGGCATACGGAGTGTGGTAAAGTGGCTTAACCTATCAAAGTAGAAGTAGACAAAAGGAAAAGGTCTATATACAGCATGTAAGTGATATACACGTGATATAGCACGTGACGGGCACTTCGTGGTCTGCGGTTACTATCCCTGTTACGTGACAACTCGTGACAGGCCAGGTAACAGCTATGCACGCATCCGCAGAACTTCGTATGAACTTGGTACAGGATGTCAACATGTCACTTTGCAGTTCTTACGTGCGGGACATGCTATCTCGACGTCACATGATATGATTTATCTTTGAACCAGTACCACTCGACACCAGCATGAATCACAATCCAAACCGGGGTATCTGTAAACTCTGGCCTAGGTAATTGTACTTCCGTGTGTTGACTTCCGCTGTCAGGCAATCCCCCCACTTCCCGGCCAAGTTCATCTGTCCCACCATTGGTGCGGCACAAGGTGTCAATAATCTAGTCGATTCGACACCCATCATGTCCTCAATCAACTTGACGAAGCTGGCTGGGTTGGCTGACGCCGCGGCTGAAGCAAATTACCTCAACCAACCCTGCGCATCGCAGGTGATGAGCCAACTTCACTACTCCCCTAAAGTTAACCTTTCTGTCTGACCAAGATACTCGAGAAATCGTTAGCCGAAGATCATGAGCGTGTGAAGCCCTACACTGCATCAGCCACAGAAGTCTACACCCAACCTCGAGTCACTTGCTACATGACCGTGCTACCTTTCCCATCCAAGCACATACGACCACACCCATTGGAAAATTCGGGATCCCGTCCGCTCTCCCATAGACAAGCCAATGAGGGCCAGATTAGTAGTTGAGTCGGTGACGATCAGCGAATACCTGGTGTTGTATGTTTTTGGATTTTGTTCAACCAGGTTCACTGTATGGCACTTATTTACCTGCCCGCCTTGTCCCGCGATTGCAAGTGTTTGAATGGGCGACAGATATTTTATTGTTTCTTATTATGGATAAGAGATCTGTTTCCTCTTAGTTCCTGGAGAAGGGGGTAAAAGCGCATGAGAGTGATAGTGGATCCCATAGTAACCATAATCGACTGACGGGATCACCGTGCATACTATTCTTCGCCTATTTCAGCTAGTTCGGGGGAGAGGATTCTGATGGCTGCACATTTTCGAGTTAAAGTTTAGGTCTTTTCGATTCCTGTTTAGGCGGACGTTTTCTTCTCTGTTTCCATCTCTAATGGATGGCTTTGCCAGGCGAAAGACAAGTTGATGGACGCCTCGGTGATATTTCGCAACACGAATATACTATAGGAACTTAAATTAGATTGTGGCACCCACATCGCAGAATCGGTCATACCGATAAGAACCCCGCGCTTTCCACGGACGCCAGTCCCAACAATAAGTTCAACTTTAAAAGAAGGTAGTTCCCAGAATGCCAGTATATGGTGGTTGTGAACCCTTTTAGACTTGAAGAACCTATTTCAACATAGCACCGCCCATCAAAAGAAGCATAATACACAAGACCCAGTTGACGGTATATTCAGTCTCGATCACAAAGTTTCCCTAAACATATGTGCTTGTAGCTAACATATCCAGTAATACATATTCACACACCATGAAGCCATCAGTCGTCTTCTCAGTTCTGACCTTGGCTCTGGCCAGTCAAGCTTGTGATACGTACAAGTACTGTCACTGCACCAACGCTGATGGAACGCCAAATAGCGGCGCCACGCTTACCGTATGTGGTAACGACCCGTATGTTTACGACAATGGATATGCCGAGTGTAACCACTACGATAACTACTTCTGGGTCGTTAAAGCCATCAACAATTGCGATTTTAGAAAAGCATGCAACAAGAATGGCGCACCTGGAGACTCTAGTTGTAGAGCTAAGGTTGGGGTTTTCAAGGCATAGGATGGTACCCGGTCGTCCATCGCAGAATGGCGCTTGATGCTCTATGGTAGTGCAGACAAGGATCACAGCACAATTTCCAGGAGCCCTTAAATAATGCAGCTTTATGGTCTCCGGTTTTACCCTATCATTCTTGAGAAATTAATGAGAACTCACATCGTGAAAATGGACATGGGTTTCATACTTTGTTTGCATTGCTTTCTACGCAAGATTTGTCAAGCGTTCCCCATTCACTTAGACACATTTTCGTTCATCCATTGAGTCGAAATGCAATCGGTTGCTCCTAGAGAAGACATTAACCTCGAAATGACGCATATTCACATGCTTCATTGCTACTCTTGTGCATTCCTCTCAGCAGGAGATGGCTACCCAAAAATCGAATTTAAGACTGGAAAGATTCTATCTCTGCTTCTATCTCTAATTGCCTCAAAGAATCATTTAAGTTATCCTCCGTCTCATGATAATGATGGTGATGATGATGGTAGTGGTGGTGATAATGATGATGGTGGTGTACAACTTGTTGTGGTGGTCCTACATCTATAGCATGACCCGTCGGCTGACTTGGCAGGTTGTCATCAGAGAAGGCGTAGAGGTACTGCGATGGGGGTACCTTTGAGCAGATTGGATCTGGTGGGAGAGCCGGGGTCTCCAAAGTGATATTTGGAACCGAGAACGATGTTTCTAAGTTGCGCACTGTAGAAGACTGATGTGTTTGTGGTATCCTTGTATCAAACCTGTTCGATCTCCATACTTTAGGAGTGCTGTTGTGACTGTTTGAGGTGGGGTCCCTCAAAGCCTGGTGCAGCGGCTCGGATACGTGGCCAAGATCTAAGCTTGGTGGAAGATTCGAGCTGAGTTAGGAATGGTTTAGGATTGAATCGTATGACGCTGCATCGCCGACAAAGCGAAAGTCGTCCGTATATAGCCCTGTGCTCAAATCCACCATAGATGTGGCTATATCATCGATATCGATGACGTTGCTGATGTCGGTATCAGCTTCAGTTGCTACTCGGAGCGAGTTTAAGGAGGGTTCGGGAGCATCTGATGTCGTAGCATCGCCACGATTCGTTGTGGCAAGTGACCGTGGGGAAGGTGTTCCTGTATCTAGAGGCCTTTTCGATGTTTTTGATAGTGCTCTCCATCTGTTACGACAGGTGAGAGGTGGCCGGCCTGGCAGCTTTGCCGATAAAGCAGACCACCGGTGACCAAGCGTCCGAACACCTTCTCGTAGAATTTCGTCTTCTTGTAGTGACCATCCGCTAAGGCGGTCTTTGACTTTTGGACTCAAGATATCCATGTATCTTTTCGAACATTGGTCATCCTTCCTCCCAGGTATCAGGAGGGCTTCGCATGCGAAATCGGGTATCAGTGAATGACATAACACTCAGGGATCAGAGAACTCTAGCATACCGATGTCGTGCCATGCGGGGCCCATCCGGGCATAAGCCGACAATAGAATCTGATCTTCATGTGTTGTCCATCGACCCTTTTTGATAGACGGATCAAGAGAGTGAAACCATCGCTTTCGACAGTCCTTGTGGTCTGTCAGCCCTCATAGCCATATTGCCTCTGGGAGGTGGAGTGGGTTTAACCTTGGCAGTGCGGTCTTGGAGTGCAGCGGCAATATCCTTCCAGTGTCCCTGGGGGCCTCGTGCGTCTCCGTAGCGAGCAACGAGCGTCTTCAATGTCACATCTTCTTCAGGGGTCCAAATCTTACGTGGTCGTGTGGTGGCGTTGACACGCGGGGAGCATGGCGAAGAGTCTTCTACAGACATGAAAGCAACAGAACAGGTTTGTCTTGTTGTCGGCGGTAACGGCTTCTTTTGGATAGACAAATCGCATCCCGGGTCATAGTGATGCTCCACGTATAAGGCTGCTTCAAGCACAGGATGGACGAAGGATATCTCTGTGGTACTGACCGCTGACCTCATTTGAGACCTGCCCATTTGCTCCCCGCAAAATTTGTGCATGGTTAGGTTGCCAAGTTTCCCCGCATTCGGAGTGGGGGTTAGTGTAGTCGAACCAGGAGCTTCTGACCCGGGCCGGGTCATGGCATTGCGCTACCGAGTCCCGGGCCCGTATATTTTCACCTACGGGATAACACTGGTGGCTCAAGCTGGGTGTGTGAATTCCCGGTTCCTCGGGTGTTGTGAATTCTAGGCATTATCCTACTATACTGGTGTGCGGCTCAAGTAGAGAAGTGCAGGACAAAGAGCGAAGGTGGGAAGTGGGAATCACTCTGAGAATGGTTTCTGAAGCATTCCGTCTTGTCATATTATGGGAGGTGGCATACTGTGAGAGTATATCTTCATTGCATCCATTAGAGACGTCATGTTCGAGTCGTGAGTTGGCTCATACTTCTGAGGAACTTTGTCCTGGGCGTAAGAGCTAGGCATACAACCGAAGTTCCGACTGGGAGATTTCTGCCAAGCGTGGAGTGAGGCGTCATACTGAAGCACAGCCACGTCCGCTGCTTCAGCTTCTGCAACCGGATATCTTGGTGATCACAGATTGAGCAAATTGCTGGTGGCATGCGTAGAATATGAGGGTCACTTGTGAGGCTTAAAGGAGAAGACCGAATAATCGCGAGGGCCAATCTCTAGCAATTTTTAGCAAAGTGAATATCGAACAAATTACGCCTCATGTTGTCCGCCCACCGTTGGTGACGAGAGCCTATAACGTTGTGTTGCTTGCATGCATTAATCTTTGTCTTCGCTATATTTATAATGCTGGTTTACTTGCAGGTGAGTCCAAGTAAGATCCTTTTGTCGCTGCCCTTTCCGGTGGCGCGTATCGAGCGCCTCTCACCGAAGTTGGGAAGGACCATCTGCTGTCGGTTGTCTCCGAGTCTTACGCCAAGGCAGCGGTGCATGGCAGACAGCCTCCTTAAGCCATGAGGTGTCCCGTCGATCTTGAGGTACGTACTTGCATTCGTCTTATGTGCCCGACCAGATGCCTGTTTCTGGCCTACTGTCTACAAACCGCATCATTCCCGCTTGCCTTACTGACAGTCACGTACCTGGAGATACCAGGATTGTACTCCTACAAATGTATGTGGGCCAATGACAAGCCGCCAACCTTTCCTGTGATGCTTGCAGAGGGCCTTGAGCTAACTACATCTGACGGGTGTGCCTCATAAGGGGCGCCGCCTTGCTGGGATGCTACGGAAAAGTGGACGTCTGTTGGTTCGAGTGGGCGTGGGAATAAAGCCAGTTCCTATCAATTTGACGCCCCAAAGCCTCAGAAGCCAAAATAAAAAGAAGTAGTTTGCTCTGCTTGACACTGTCCATACCAAATACTTAAGTGCCCCAAGGTCCGTCGTGTTTGCGATAAAATCCTGCACCCAACCAGCTTCTTAACCTTACCTTTTCTATTCCAATTGAAAGTCGCTTGATGCAATTCGATCCTGGTACAGCATCTCCGCAACTTCACCATGGGGACCAGCGGCTTTGTCTTCAAGCATGTCTTCTCCCTTCTGTTCAATATTCTCTTCCACCTCTACCAGGCCTTTTACATGTACATGCCTTGGAACGAGTCAATGTCCAAAGAAAATGGCACAGCCTTTTCAAACTCCTTCAGTGACATTGAAATAGCAAAGGCTGTTTTTGATACAGCTTATGGGACTGTTTTGAGGCAAGAAGGGAAGGACATCCAATGGTTGGACCTGTGCAGATATGCTAGTACGCGTGATGTGATTGAAGTAAGTCTATCCCATACGCCGACTAAAAGAGACTCGGTAGCTTGAGACAGGAGGTATGTCTCTCTTCTTGTACGTGTAACTTACCACCATTGAACTTTCCAGATCCGGTTGCAAGAGGCTGGATGGGAAGACGCCGGCGACAAATTGCAACTAGCTTTCGACAGGTTCCATAACGAGATGGAGCCCCTCAACGAGACACAGGCGACATGGGCGAAAATCGTCGAGGCGACCAATTTCACCTATGTGACATCCAAATTTAGGCCGTTTCTCGACGCATCGCTAGACACAGAAGAGGAGCAAGACTATGCTCGGAAGGCACTGTGCAAGATCTTTGGTGTTCGGGGCACTCTGAAGGTGAAGCAAGAGACACAAAACATGTATGAGTCCAGGCGGATCGTGATCCAAAACGCCGAAGTAAGTTATCTATATTCTGAGCGCCATAATAGAGTCTTAGCGTCTCGTTGACATGAAGAGAACAACCGCTGATTGAATGACCAAGGCTGCCTGGCTCAACACAGACCGGAAGACTCTCATCGAGTTCGTCAGCAGGTTGGCGGTGCTTGTTGACCATGAAGACGAAGATGCAAGATGGGCGGACTTGCATAAGATGGCAGGGACGGATGAGAATTTGAGAGAAGCGCTTGATGACCATCGTCATGCGGTAAAAGACGAGCTTTGAATCAGGCGATGCCTGACCCCGATCGAAGGTTTCTGACCCTTGACACCGAGCTGTCATATCTCCAAGGCTTGATTAAACTGTGCATGTACCTTAACTCGAGTTGGTCGAATTGGCGTAGCAGAACGTGGGACACCGCAGTTGTTGAAACCTAGTTAGTCGCATTCAGAGTACTTTTCAAATCATTGACACATTCTTCCATGTTCAGTCAGTTCACACATAGGAAATTCGAGCAGGGCTTGTGTACGAGCTAGTGCGGGGTGGTGTTGGCCCATAATCCCACGCGATGACGAGGATGAGCTACGCAGAGCTTGGTTGAAAATTATGTAGTATAAAAGGCTACTAGAGAGGTAAGGTAGACCCAAAGAATATTCTTTCGTAATATTGCAAAATGACATGACCTGGCGAAGTGCCGTTTTCCCTCGATAATCCGGTAGTTGAAGAAGCAGAATCTTAAGTCGTAACATAATGGTTGTAGTCGCTGATTACAACCGGCAGCCTGAATTGGCAAGTTGGGGGGAATCTACCACATCATCACACTCGCGAGCAAGAATCCAACAATGAATGCTGCCCTTGAGTTGCCTCCCAATTTAGGCGCCGCGTTCTCGTCCGTCTCGACAGCCACGCCGGCGGAGTTGGTCTTTGTTGATCCGGATGAGCCTGAGGTGGAGGCGCCCGGTGTGTAGTCTGCTGCGATACCGTCGATGGGGTGAGCGTAGGCTTGTGCGGGCGTTGTTGTCGCGACCCAGGCGATGGTGGTGGAGAGTTCCTCGGGGTTGTAGACGGTGACGGTGGCGGTCTGGCTCAGGTCAAAGTTGCTGTAGCAAGTGCCGCCGTAAGCCGGGCGATCGGCGTCGGCGGTCTTGGCGGGTGCAGCGAAGGTGAAGCCGCTGTTAGGTAGAGTTAGCATCTTGGACATAATCTTGGCTATTCTTGGCTCAGATCGTAGGGCTAGGGGAACTTACGAAGCGCAGCAGGCAATGTATCCGCTTGACCAGGTGCTGCTCTCTGTGCTGTATCCGCTCGGGCAAACGAGAGGGCTCATGAAGGGTGCGATGGAGCTGGAGGCGGATAGGGCGGATGAGTAGCCGTTAACCCATTGCGTGGGATGGCAGGCTGAGAGGGTCGAGTTGGGCAGAGGTACGGGCTCGTTAATCCAGATCTTCTCGAGGGCGCCGACCAACATGGTCAAGTGGTTCTCGGTACATTCTGCGGGCGGCGTGAAGGTCGTCGTGAGTGCCACCGTCGCGACGGGCACGGGAGTGCCGGTCGGTGCGGTGGTGACGGCAGGGGCGGCTACCTCGGCGGTTCGGACGGCCATTATGACGGACTTGGTATAGGTTTACAGGTAGTTATAGCTGTAAATTCGGTATAAAGAGCGGACGTTGAATAACGATTATGATAATCAACTGGATCGTTGTTTGCTGATCTTAAACTTTACGAATAAGTCTAAGTTAAAAGAGTGGAAGGGGTGGGAAAGTTGTTGATCAAAAGAATGTGGTGGCCGGAAACTCGCAAAGAAGATACTACGCGCGCAACGGGTAAGGGAAGAGAGAAACGGAGGCAAATGGACCACTGGCGCAATGGTAAACACCCAGGAGTTTTATCGAAATTCTCGATGGGACTGCACAATGCAACCTCCCACGCGGCAAGTGGGTTCGCATGGCAAACAAATCAGGAGTTTTTGTCGAAATTCTTGGTTGCCAAACTGCGACCCTCCCCCCGACCCAAGTGGGTTCGAGAAAGGGGCGCAGACTTGTCCGGCCGGCCCAGGCCAGACCACTCGCAGTCTCGCAGTCTCTCTCTCTCTATCTCTCTTCTCGCTTCGAGGACTCGAGTCGCCACTAAAGCAGGCATGCCGCCGAGAGGTGCATTTGGCACCCTCCAGTTAAAGCTGTTGGGGAACACAAAGAAAATGCATGTGGTTTCTCGTGTACGTTCGTTTCTATCTTTACCTACCTACCTGAGACTAGGTACGTAGCTAAGGCACGTCTCTCACCGGGCCGCAATTTGCTTTTTTGTAGTGGTCTGAACTGAGACACCGTTGAATTAACCCGTTGTTGAATAGCCTTGGAAGTTTGGAAGGACTTGGAGCGGACAGTCGAAGACACCGCGCTCTATTTTGTAATTCAGCTCGCTCGGTTTGGCTAAAGGTCCGATTCATTTCGATCGTCACGTCACAAACAGTGGGCACCTTTGTCCCGGAGGCCCGCTCGGTTTTCCCCCGGTGAGAGCTCCCGCGCACACCGCGGACTGGATTGTCGGATCTACACAATCCTCCCGTGACTCTCCTCGGCACTAAAGCTTGCACTGCCGCGAGCCCGTTCTCGTTGGCAGCTGCTGCTTGGTTTCAGGCAGGATGATTGGTAGATTGCGAGGGCATTGACCTCCTCTTTTCGCGTGAGGCTCTACGGTCCAACGGTTCACCTTGAGTGAACCTGGTTTTATGGGGAGAAGCGGGGAGCAAATCTGCCAGGTACCCACAGGACTCGTGGCTCTTTTCGTGTGCAAACAATGTGAAGTTGGGAAGTTCTGCCCCGTCACTTCTCAAGGGCATGTTGGTGATGGAAGCAGTCATGATCAAGACTCCATTTTGCCGTCTTAAGAGGGCTCGATGCGGAGGCGCGGCAGAGTTGTTTCTAGGCGCGCTGCAAGATGTAACGCCTTGGTAAAGCTTCTTTGGATGATGAAGTACTCCACTGTCCACGGTTAGGAAGTTGGGAATCTCACTTGGCTTGCCAAGACGACAATCTGAAGAAAGGGGGAAATGGTGTTACGTAACGCATCTCTAGTGCCAAGCTTGTAGGTAACGTGACCCGAGACTGTTGGCATCGCATGAAGGGTGACATAATAGTTAAGTTCTCGTTGGCTGCCATGCTTAGAATAATCGGTTTATTCACGCGGCCATCTCATGGTCTGGTTCTGCTAGCAAAAGTCCACATCCATCTGGGCAAAGATGCCGGGAGATCGGCCGAGAATTTCTGTCAAAAAAACAGTAATCATCGATCGCACTAACACCGCATCCTTCAGTCAAAATACCCACTCTGCCAGGGCTTCGAGGACTCTTTGCGTGGTCTAGTGCAGGAACCAGCGAGTTAGTGGATCTACTAAGCAAGCCACCCGGGAAGGAAGAGTCGAAAAATTCCAGTTGGTGACGTTGATCAATCTAGATTTTTCTTCCTTGTGGCTTACCCTAGTGAGGCATTAGACGACCGTTTTTGCAAGCCAAAAAGATCAATCTGGGCCTTAAAGATGACCTAAGCAACCTCTAAGACTTATGATCTCGGGTAACTGTAACGTTCTTCAATTGAGTCGGATCTGCACGGATATCTTCATTGGGTAAAGTTGATGCTATGCATGCAAACAACACAAGTTGCATTGCCTCTGCAATCGCAGTAGTATGAAGTAGTGCATAGCAAGGTGGTTTTTCCTTTATTTTTTCATTTTCTTAGTTCGAATTGCGGCTATAGACGACTTCCTCGTCCTGTCTGGCCTCTCGAAGCTCCATAGGTTTGATGCCAAACGCTCGTGTTTGTTATTGTACACCTTTACCCTCATTCTGACAATAAATTTGCTTTCCTCTCAATTGTCGACTCAACATGATCATTATTCAAACACATGGCAGACCGCGGTATGCTGAGACGTTAATGCGCATCCCTCGCGGAAACCGAACAAGAATACATTTCCCGCAGAAGTACGTATTTGATCAATCTGATTACTTGAGAGCCCCTGCTCACATACGGTCAAGCTGAAGAGTCTCGGTGTTGTGGATTTACTATGGGCAGTCCGTTATCACGACGTCTAATGCGAGTTTAATGTTGAGAATCAACTGAAAATGCCATCTACAGGAACGGGTGCTTACTGGAATGCCAGTTTATAGAGTAAGTGAGAAGAAATCGTTCCGATAATCTGGGGGCTTTGGTTTTGGTGGTGGCTGAGCCCGTCTGGAGTAAAGTTAAAGATCGGTTATTGGTAGACGTCGCAGACACGGCATTTAGAACAGTATGTAGAGTCTGCGGACGTCTCATAGTGTGCCTATCACATGTATCATTCAGTCGTCGGGCTAGGTAGAAAACATCGATGCTACAGGGTAATCAATTGTTGCTTATGCCCTGCTGGTTTAGGCAGTTGACGGTTGACACCGTTCTCTCAGACGACATGGATCTTCGCACCCATAAGAAGACGCAAGACCGGGAGCTAGGTGAAGACGTGCCACTTGCAGAGAGGGACGAGTAGAAAAGCACGAATTAGATTAGCTCAGTTAAATGAACGCCCAGAGCCTTGGGTCACGGCGAACGGGAATCTCGGTACCGGTTCCGACCAACATTGCTGTGTAATCCGGACCATCATCCTCCGTCGATCCACCCGGAGCCATGGCTGGTGATCCTCCCGACCTCAAAAAGCCTGACGATTCGCCTATCGGTCGTAACATAGCAACATCACGGCCGGTGTGTCGCCGGCGTGGCAGTCTTGGCTTCTCGTCAGCTGGCCCAACTCGCCTTCAACGGGAAACCCTCCGGGAAGAAGAGAACACTCGGGATGTCAGCATCTGATAGTTCAATCAAGGAAAGAAACTCCTATATATATCCCTCCAGTTCATTGCTTTAACTCTACTTGACCACTACCTTAATCAAGCCGAGCGCGTTTGAGCAGATATTCATTCTTTCGTCCAGCCACTCTCCGACCAAAAAACGCCTAGCCCAAACCCACGATGAAGGTTCTCATTCCTCTCCTGACGGCCAGCATAGCTAGTGCCCACACCATTTTCTCGTCCCTCGAAGTCGGCGGCACGAATCAGGGCGTCGGCAACGGCGTTCGCGTTCCCTCCTACAACGGCCCTATCGAAGATGTGACCTCCAACTCTCTCGCATGCAACGGCGCTCCCAACCCCACGACGCCCACTTCCAAGGTCATCATCGTTCAGGCCGGGCAGAACGTCACCGCCATCTGGCGTTACATGCTCAGCTCCACCGGCTCTGCGCCCGCGGATGTCATGGACAGCAGTCACAAGGGCCCGACCATTGCGTATCTGAAGAAGGTCAGCGACGCTACTACCGATTCTGGCGTCGGAGATGGCTGGTTCAAGATCCAGCAGGACGGCTACAGCGGTGGTGTTTGGGGGACCGAAAAGGTCATCGACGGCCAGGGACGTCACAGCATCAAGATTCCAGAGTGTATCGCTCCTGGACAGTATCTCCTTCGCGCGGAAATGATTGCCCTGCACGGTGCTGGCAGCTACCCGGGTGCCCAATTCTACATGGAATGTGCTCAGATCAACGTTGTTGGAGGCACTGGCACCAAGACTCCCTCGACTGTCAGCTTGCCTGGCGCGTACAAGGTTAGCGGTTGTGCTTCTAGATATTAAATATCTTAACTTCGAGTATAACCACTAACTACATTATCCTTAGGGTACCGACCCTGGAGTCACAATCAACATCTGTAAGTCTTCCAAAGTTCTCTCTTTGGCATTCATCGACCACATTTCAGCTGACAAGAACGTTTCTAGACTGGCCCCCGGTTGAGTCCTACACGATTCCCGGCCCTAGCCTGTTCACGTGCTAGATAAGCAATCTTGGATACACGGATAACTTGGATGGGACCTTGGCTTGGTTGATTTAGGCTATCTTACTTGTAACTAGTCGCATCCAACTTTCTCTAGTGATGGTGGCAGAAAGCCTACATCATTTGAATAAGATAAAAGATCCGGAAAAGTCATTCACTCCTAACTGACGTGAGACTTTTAACAAATCAATTATTAAAGAAGGACGAAAAAAATCAATGACAGCGATATTGGGCCTTCGCTCGGAAAAATTCACTCGCCATGGCATTGATGCGTGTAGATGTCTCTATCTCCGTTTAAGCGACTACAAAATATCGTGAACTACAAAGGTGCCACAGTCCAAGTCATGAAATGATGATGAACGGACCCCCCCCCCCCCCTTCTTCCGGTGTCTGCTGCATTTAGTAACGGAGATACAACACCATATTGGTATTGATAGGTCACTGTCTGCTTTCTCTTCTTCAATAACACATGGCAAGCACTTCATTCCTGCGAAACTTCAACGACAAGCGCCCAAGGAACTCTTCCAAGCTTAGACTACCAGGCATAGCTTTTTCCTCCCTAGCTTTGCAAAGCACAGCGGACTTAAGAACTTTCACCACACCCGAACCAACAGAAACAAACATGTCCTACGAATCTCGTTGTACAAGTGGCATGTTGGGCGCTCGAACCGGACGTAGAAGCTCGCACTTGCCAGTTGAGATTCTACTTCGAATCGCTCCTCATCTCGAATCCGGCTATGAGTCTTCAGACCTGGCAGATTGGCAGAGGGGTCTGGAATTGATTGCCTGGAGAAATCTTTCGAGTTTCTGTCTTGTTGGCCCAGCATGGCGGGCAGTTGGCCAGGTATCTCTATTCCGACACTATAGGGCGACGAAAACTTTACCGCTGTTTGTCAGATCTCTTATTGAGTTCCCTGACCTTGGAGAACTTGTGGAGTCTGTTTCTCTGGACAGCTTCTCTTATGATACCTTCCGCGGATATCAAGAAGTGGCGATGATATTGAAAGAAAGAAGTAAAGAGCTTGGAATCGAGTTTCCCCGCGATGAAGATACGATGAATCTGCCGCAGTGGATTGTCACAAGCAACAAAGTGCAGTCATTCTTGGCGACTATGTTGCTGGCACACACGCCTCGGGCGAAGCATGTAAAGCTGCCAGTACAATGGTCGGGTGAAGTCCTAAGGAACCTCGTGGCTGCTGGGAACGGTTCAACAATGCCATCGCCACAAAACCCACGCACCAGCTTCAAAGATCTAGTACACTTGACCCTTGGCAAACCGGACTCTCCAGGGGGAGGAGGGTGGGAGTTCCTCCATGACACCAGCGAATACTGGTGCGCGCTTCAACTCGCGCCGAACCTGACCTCTCTCGCTCTCTTCGACTTCTTTCCAATCAAATCTACTCTAGAGCCTAGTCTTCAGGTTTTGTTCGCAAACCTAACGAGTCTAAGAATTGGTGGAAGCTTGCGTAATACTCAATCGTTCGTAGACCACTTTGAGTCGGTTTCTAGAGTCTGCAGATTTCTAGAAGAGATTCAGATCATCCTGCCGCAGCACCCGGGCCAACTAGAGAATTTGCTGGACTCGTTACAGCCTTTCGCAGCTACTCTCAAACGGCTACGACTGAGTATCGATATAGGTACTACGCCTATCGAGCTTCCATTGTGGAGGTGGGATGGCCTGAATTTGTTGCAAAAGCTCACCTGCCTGGATACTTTGCGATTGGATTTCAACCACGCCCTCTGTCGCGACCATGTCACGCCCTTTCCATCCGAGCCCGTCCGAACAGAGGAGTTTTTCGATTCATTGCCGACTTCACTACGTACACTATTCTTGCCAGGGTGCAACTGGGCCATTAGAAACCCGATGAACTACACGATCCGACGTGAGTACCACACAATGGAGAGATTGGTGACAAGAATACGACGTGGTGATCTTCCGGAACTCCGAACCCTGCACATCGCTTGCAGCCGTCGAGCTCCATCCCCTTTCTTCGGACAACTTGAGGATTTAGGTGTCGAAGTTGTTCATTACAAGCATCATGCGACATTGTGTGGTGGTGACCTTGCTGCTCTGGATGTTGAGAATTGGAAACTACTCTAGGCAGGAGAATAGGGAGATATGGGCGAACGGCTAAGAGGCAGCTTATATGTCCGACAATGCATTGCGAAGGAATTCGGTTCATGCATCAGACAGTTCATCAGATTGGTGAATCCGATTTCCTCTTCTGAGTCTTGACATACACTTGTGAACTATCTTAGATAGGTACAATGCTTTTCACTGGAGGGTGGAAAGGGAACCATTAATCATGAATGGCAAACATTATGCAAATTTCCACAACTTTGATTTATGTGCATGCAACGTCTACGCAGCCACGCCTACCCGGTCAAAGTCCGGCGCCCAAGCACTTCCCACGCCCGAAATGCTAATGGTGTTGGCGCCGCCGGCCGTGAAACCTGTCAACTCAACTGCGTATCCCTTGAAAACATCCGCGGACCAGTTGTAACCGCTAAGAGGAAAGCTGACCGTCTGCGCGGCGCCCCCGTTGACACTGATGGACGCCAGCCTCTCGTTGTTGCTGCCTCCCAGGTACCCGACGTCACCGTTGATGTAGTCGAACAGTACGGTCTGCGTGCCGGCCTTGGACGTTGAGACGTTGGACAGTACAACGCGGCCATTGGAGGAGCCGCCGAGGTTGCCGACCTTGTTCGAGGATGTGCAGCCAGAGCAGGACTGCAGGTTTGCGCCAGATGACAGCGAGCCGGTGGCGACAGAGACGTAGTTGTACTTCGCACCAGCGGCAGTTGAGCGCTGGATGTTGGAGAGGCGAAGTGCAAGGGAACCGTGTGCGTTGACTTGCGCAGAGTAGCTGTTGGCGTTGGTGACGGACTTTGACGTCCAAAGGTCCTTGACCGTGGCGGAGGTGATGCCGAGATCGGCGAGCTGGACAGTCAGCGTGCGGGCGGCATTGCTCAGGTCCACGACAAGGACAGCGACATCTCCGTTGGCGAGATCACCAGCCCAGAGGTCGCGGTTACCGGTCCAGCGCTGAACTAGCTTGATCGGCTTGACGGCTGAATCCTGGTTGATGGCGATAAGGTCCTTGTTTTGCAAGACGGCCACGGCCTGATTAGAGAGAGCGGCAAGATCGGTGGAGATCATGAGCGCAGACTTGAGCATGGCCCAGGACGCAAAGTGGGTGGCTTGCTCGTCGAAAGTCATGCCCGTGTTGCCGACTTCGAGAAGGTCAGCATCAGCGATGTTGCCCGGTCCGACGATGCCGGACTTGACAATGTGAATAGCTTGGTTGTAGATTCGGTAAACGTTGCCCCAGCCCGTGGCAATGTCGTCCGACAGTCGGAACGAGGTCGAGATGCCCTTCGTCCATTGTGCGGGCCCCTGGAGGCCGCTGGAAGCCGAATAGGGGGTTCCCCATTGGCAGATCAGCATGCCCGGAATGCCAACTCGTTGAAGTTCTTTCCACATGACGGTGAAGCGCGAGACAAAATCGGTTCGCGGATCCTTCGGCGCATTCTGCGATCCGTTGGGACCGTCGGCATAGCAGTTGTCATCTGAGAGCAAATCGTAGTCAGCGCATGCCGCGTGGCACTAGTGGCACAGTTGCCAATTATGGCCTGCGGAACTCACACTTGAGATACTCTGTGTTGAGAGTCTTGAAAAAGTCGGCATCGGCGGCTTCGTGACCGAGTGAGCCCAAGACAGGACTTGGGACCTGCGGGTCGCACATGCGCACGCCAGCGTCGGAGTACATGGTCCATTTCATGCCTTTAGACCTCGCAAGATCGCTCAAGGGCTTGAGGCCCTGGGGGAACGCGTTGGTGTCGACCTTCAACGCGCCCGATGTGGCATTTCGCTGGCCATCTCTGGAGGCCCAGCCGCAGTCGATCTGAAAGTACTTGTAGCCCGCGGTGACGAAGCCTCGGTCAGCCAAGGAATTGATGGCAGCTGTGATGCCGGCATTGGTCGGGCTACAGGAGACCTGATTGTACGAATTCCATCCCATCACGGGCGTCGACTGGAAAGACTGACTCGCGGCCAGAGAGGCACCCCCGAGGCCGAGGAGGAGGAAGCTTGAGATGCCCATGATGAGTGTGGAAAATGAGACTCAGACGCTTTAGCTTTGAAGACGTGCAGCGCTCGATTCTTGACGCGATTCAGTGTTAGACATTCCCATCGTCGCCTTAAATACTTTCAAGAGTCGCGAAGTCCAAAATACGGCGGCAACTCAACCGCACGATGATGGACTTGCGCGCCAATAGAGACGATGGTGGCTAGGACGCTTCAAGTTAGCGAAGCCGGCAGACGGTCGCTTTTAAGAGAGGACCTGCCGCATGGGATCTGCAATGAAACATCGTATTCATGGGGTTGGCCGGGGCTCGGGTTCGGAAATGAAATCATCGTCTTTGGGGTGCATACGGCCACTCCACGAGACCTACCCCAATCTGATCTAAGGTACCCGCTTCCCCACAGAGTAAATGAAGCTTTTCTAGCTTTCTTAAGTCAGGGTCGGGGAAGCATTAGTGTCGCCTGATGGCGATCGGCAGCAATCCTCGGGGCGTTGAGTCGCGAACAGTCGCGAACCCGCAGCAGAGATCCAATTCAACGGTCGGTCGTTACCATCCCGGCGCTTGTAGGAACTCAGCGTCGCGTTTACGACGGGTAACGGCAGTGAGCACACCTGGGCCCTTCCTTGATGCGCCGCGGGCCGCGGACTAGACCGGAGGGTAATCCATGCTCCCCAGAAATGGCTCACAAGCCGAGCACCGGCGAAGCCGACTCTGGGGTAGTCTCTTTGATTATGATAGCTCATTCCATCAGATCACCCAGCCTGTGACCTCGTGTCTTTCTCGACACAGGGTACGAAGTCAAGTAGGTGGACTACCACTTCAAATAGAGGTTTCCCAGTAGAGGAATGTCAAACACAATAAGTTGTCTTTCAAGCAAGGAGTGAATAGAGAAAAAGAACAACTACAAGTCAAAT